ACGCAGGGTAACGCATTGGGCCGAGATAATCGCATTGGCCCCGGCATGGTTCAAGACAACATGCCGGGGCCCTCAACACTTATTTGTACAGATTTTTCTTTGTTTTTATTTAACATAAAAAAGAATATTGTTTTTTTATTTTCTACAAACTAGCGTCATCGCTCAGCTAACGCACGAATGCCGTTGCAAAGGGCAACTTGTAGGCTCCGAGGCAGTGAAGTTATCGACGATGAATTTACGCACGTCGTTCACTGAGGCGTGTTGCTGCATTGGCTGGAACAAATGGTAGTCGGATGAGTATGTTGGGTGTCGTATAACTTCCAATATCCAGGTGGTGGGGGTCCTCTGAGTCGCAACGCGAACAACACGAGGTGGGCGAGCGTTGTGCAGCGGCAGCAGCGGTATAGCTTGTCCGCTTCCTTGCCCACTGAATGGCTTTTCCCGGTTTGTCCAACTGTCGGCTGTTGTGCTTCGCAGTCATCGTCGGACGACCAATTTCCAGGAGTTCGTAGCAAAGTATCCGGATCGTGTTTCACCGGATACGCGGGGTAATCTTCTTCAAGTGGATGATCTGTTTCGGCGTCGATGTGCTACTGGATTTCCCTGGATCTACCCACGACTTCCTACGCTTGGGATTCTCGTGAAGCGTGTACCTTTCAATACCCGTCACAATTTTTCTACAAGGAGTCCATTAACTGCTCGTTGCCGTCGAGTTGGCCTGGGTTGTGTTCGGTCAATACATGTGAGGGGACCCAACGTTCAAACTCTTGGAAATAGCTGTTTGGTTGACTCCTAAGTGAGCTTGCAGATGCGCATCTTCAAACCTTCGCGGCTGGTCACCAATATCGAAATCAACTCGTTTCGCCAGACCCAACGTCGGTAGCACCAAGAGCACTGCAAATTGATTCCCTCGTTGAATTCGTTGGAATTAATGGAAGATGCAGTGCCATCGTCGTAAAGTCTAATATTCTGGGAGGCTATGTAACTCACACGTAGAATTCTCGTTCGGTATTGTGAAACCTTACGTCTAAATCATTCTAAACCACAGAAGACGTCGAAAATACTTACATTTCAAATGTAATGTTAGTTCGAAAAGGAAAAAGATTGTGTAAATTAAGTCGTACGTATCATCGTGCAGTTAAACTGCAGGGGTATTTTGCCAATATGCATTATGAGACGATGCGAAAATCAATAAACTTTCGATAATTATCGGGTCGATAGACTCGCCTCGTCGGCCAATGGTATCGCCTTCATCTACAATGGCTTGGTGACCCAATAAGCAGTGGGGCCTCAATCGATACATGGTGTCGTGACGTTCTGCATCGTGATTGCTACTTTCATAGCATGGCAAATAAACAGCTGATCCGGTCCGTAACAGCACACCGCTATTCACCCTCGGAAGCCCTGTTCGACAACTCAGCCCATCTTCGTGAGCCACACACACGCATCAATTTATGATGTGACTTCACCACCATCATAACCACATTTCCTCATCCGTCTTGCACATGAGCCCGTAGGCACGCACTCACTGTCTGACGCAAGCGTTTGCAAGCCTACTAACTAAACTGCACTCGAGTGAATTGCGCCTTTTGACGCAACGCCTTTTGCGCCCGACAAAAGAGTAACTAAATGAAAGACCTCCTTGTGTATTTGTTCTTGATTTTTTCAAACACGAACCCAAGCAGCTTGTAATCAAAATGTGTATTCAAAAGGTGACTGAGATGTGTGTGTGTGTGTGTATGTCTGAGGTATCACTTAATAGGGGCAAATCTTTTAATAAAATAATGGCGTAGTAATCAGAGTGGGTTGGTGGAGGACGGTGGTGGACGACGTCGCACTTTTACGCCATCTTGTGCTCCGACTGGGGGTGATGCGCGACCTCGTAGTCGAGGTGGACGAAGGCGCGTTCCACCTCTTCCAGGGACTCCAGCTTCTGTTGAAGTGTTTCACCAATGTCGTGGGCTTTGTGCAGGTCCAAGTTCCGTGGCAGAACGATGTCGACCTACAAGGTGAATGTGATTTCAAGTCGCACTGCATGACGCATCTGGATGTTCCAACTTGTCGATAGACTGTTGCGTTAGGCAAATGACACCTGACGAACCAGTGAAAAATGCTACAGTGTTGGTGAGAGTTAACGACCATGATTCAACAGGTGATGGCAAATCGCAAACTCGGAATTTCCACAAAATTTGACATGTGGGCTAGCACGGTAAGTGCCTGATTGACTGGTTTGTTAGTTGTGGCCATTATCACACCAACACCAACCACTAGATCGGATTTTAGACGCTTTATTCAAAATACTTCACTGAAATATTCCTAAAATCGAAATGAAATTAAAGAGCGACAACCATCTAATAGATAAGCGTTTAATCATATCCAAATTACAGTGTGTTTTAGCATTACAAATTGCACGAGGCTACCAAAATTTTGCCATTTCTCCTCCACCTCTTTGCCAATGAATCAAAAAATGCAGCATTTTTTATTTCCAAAGATTATCTAACCCAGTTGTATTTACGCTATTTTTGTGTACGAAATCTTAAAATAGTTGGATTGAGTTTTTCGTCTTCGTAATTTCGGAGTAATTTGTGGAATTCAAATTTTGCGTTTTCCGTCGCTACGGCTTAAAACAACCGAAAACTCACTTCGACCATGTAGTTGTTGCCAAGGTGAAACGCCCTCACGGTGTCTAGACGCTCGATTAAGGGGTGGTGGTTGACGCAGATAAATGTAATTCGTTGAAGGAAGACCGGGTCGGCGCTGTGCCCGGTGAGGTTGCGCGTGTGCTCTAGGCAACACCAAACTTACTACTAATTATGTGAGTTAAGTAGGAAAATACTCATTCCACGCTTCAGCTTCTTAATATGTGATACTACCATTGAAAGGGAACATGCAACTTTTTCCCAGTTGACGGTTTCCCTGGGCAACCCCATGAAAATCGGCTCTTCAATCTCTGAGTATTTCACACGTTCCCTTAGTACAAATGGGCCGTCGTCTCTCTTGTTTAAACTAACCGCTAGACAGACATACCTGCGCCCATTTTCCACCAGCTGTACACGATGTAGATCCCGATCAACAGAGCCCCCGATGGATCAAGGTACTTCAAGCAGGGGATCCCCTCTAAAATCGATTAGACCTCAGTGATAATCGTTACACTTCATGCGAAGCCTATCTTGGCATGTTAGTCTTCTTAATCGATGCATTAAGTGGGCGGAATTTAAAAAACGATCTTAGTTTGAACTTTTTTTGATAACCAATTGGATGTATTTCATCAAAATTTTAGGAATTTAATTAAATAAACGTTCGAGCATTTGGAATCGAAGCGCTATCAAATCAACCAATGAGAATAGAAGACAATTTGTGTGCATCGACGACGAATTCAAATGCTATTTCGTACACGCGCGTTCATTTTAATCATTTAAAACCGACCTATGGGGCCAGTCGTAGAATTGTACGGGATGCTTAGCGTGAGCAACGACTAAAAGGGTTTAGAGTTGGATTACCTCAAAACATGACTATAATCGCACAGCAAAAAAACGGATGAACAGAACTGACCTCTAAACACGAAGCAGATTCACGATTTTATCTAACTTAGTTCATAGAGCACACGTGTCAATTGGAAAGAGAAACTAAGAGTACGTGATTCGAGAACTTAAGCATCCAAGGTAGTGTTGTGTAGAGTTATTTTATGCATTTTTGTGGTCACTTCATCAGCGATCACGGAAATTGTCAAATTTCAAAAATGGGCGATATTTGTTGATTTTTGTACGAAAGGTAACAATCAATATGCCACCTCTGAGGCCAGCCAATAGGAATTCAAATGGCTTTACTGACGTGTGATTGGTAGGTTAGCCGTCAATAGATATTATACTCATGTTGATGGTCATTGGATAAATGACTGCAAATGTGCTGTCGAATACAGGTTTCGAGGCATCTGGCGAGGTTGCATTCCAAAAAAACGACAAAGTGGATGTGAACTTGCAGTTTAGTAAAGCGTGTCAAGGTGAATATTGTAAGCCAATCAATCAGCTTAGCGCGTACCTATTCGTGCTGATAAGGTGCTGAAAACGAGGGCAACAGAGTTGCTAATGGAGTCGTTCAGTTGGTCATTCTTCAGTGCAGCGATCGACTCGCCTCTGCCGAACTTCCAGCAGGCCACAAACAGACCCACTTTTACCGCTGCAAAAACAGACAATAAAAGGTGGTAAATCTAAGCACGCAAAGACCTCTAAACACGAAAATAATGCCAGGTAAGAGAGCAGGTTTAAAGCGGTTTTGGGGTGGCGTCGGAACCCCATTTTGCATCGTTTTTCTCCCTAGATTGTTGCTGAAAAAATCGCCTCGAATCGGGTGGGCTAGGCCTTCCACGAGGTAGTCCACCCCAGGACTCACAGAACCCCCCCCCCGATAATGCTTTTTGATTTGACCCTCAGTATTCCAAACAAAGTATTGCCTAACCGCATGATACGAGAGAGGAAGAGGGAGTAGGTTGTCGTACCGATTGTCGACGCGACAAGTCCAATTGTGACATCGGTCATGCGTGGGGGTCCCTGGTCATTCACAGCCATGTTGTAAATTGTCTGGGCCGCTCCGATCATTATCTGCACCGATATGCTTCCCATGATCGCGGAAAGAATGATCACTGCTATAGGTTCTAGTCGTTTTCGACCTAAAACATGAATCACAGAGGTCACGAGTGATACATTAAGGTTAAACGTTCTACGGCGTCACACAAACGACACAGGAATATGATCCACTGTTCAAAATACGGAACCAACTCGACTTCCGAGAAGTTAGCATGCGATAACTTTGGGGCTAAGCCATTGAATCAATGGGAAATTTGGATAAAGTCTGACGATAAGCAAACCAATCACCTTAGTCTTCGATACACTAGCCGATATGTGGCCCTTCTAGTTGTTTCAAACACAAGAAGTGACAAGGCCCTGCCAATGAATAATTTCGCTCCAACTCAAAAACAACCAACCAAACAGGCTTAAAAGTGGTGAGAGTAAGGATAACATGCATGCAAGCCTCCAAAATCAATGCTGTAAAATCCAGCAGATAACAAAGACCGGTGGAATTCGAATTTGGGTCAAATTTGCGTGAACCCGGTCAGATAAATCGCCTTGACTGCATCTGTACTGATTAAAGTACCGACCGACCCTGCCTTCAAGTCGTACTTTTATTGGTTAAAACACACGCACTGTTTTTACTGCTGACTGTGTGTATAAGCTTCACAAACCAACAAACATTAAATATGTACTCTGTTGAACTAGGTTTGAAGTGTCTGGTTAGCTATGCCACCCTGCTCGCAGCTTGTGTGGTTTGCTATCACTTCAGAATGTTTGTGGTTCTACGCGAACATCACACAGGGACCTTGTAAGTTATCAGGGCTTGCATTTACGCATCACGACGACGCAACTAACGGAAGTGAAGCTTCTGCCGTCGACATGCTTGCTGACGCCTGCCTGCTGGGTCAACGGAACAACTCGCAGCGAGTACGATGTGAGGACAACAAGGGTACTAAAAAACATCGGTTTCAGGCCGCGTCACGTGGTGACCGGGCGACGACTGCCAAAATATCTGCTGCACAACAACGCCCGCCACAGATGTTGAACATAACCGATTCGAAGAAAATGTCAAAATGCCTCCTGCGACTTTGTTTACCAGATGCTGGAAATGTCTTGGTAACTAGTCTAACCTAAACTTCGTTTAGGCGTATCTTTGAAAGCTGGTATTCAACTTATACTGGCTTTAACACGTCCACTTGTGGGTCAAATCCAGACATAACTGTGAATGTGTCCATGGCGTGTTGGAGTGAAACAAATGATACCTCGCCACCGGTGTTAAAACGACTGCGTCGACTAAAACCTTGGCTTAAGTAACCATGATCACCTGTACATGCTGTTCTGCCGTTATCAGTCAACTGGTAATTTTAAACAAGAGTGCTAATTGTTAGCTGAAGACAGAAATCTTGACGGAGTGGAAGTGAATAACTGCAGGTACCATTTGGTTACGCATCACTCGACTGGAACTCAAAACTCCACAGTTCATTCCGTGACATGCTGAGACACCTTCGTGACACCTCCAACCAAGTAAGTCGATATTATTTCGAAACACGACTCAAATCGACACTGGCTTCAACACCTCGTCTAGCTAATGAAAACAAGTTAGGTGCACAGGGGGCGCGGGCCGACCTGGTGCTCGCTGCGTACCTGTTGGATAAGTGTAGGGCAGGGACTTGCGCATCTGGTAGGCGGTGAACCAGAGTGTGAACCCCGACGCCAAATCCACCGCGCTTTCCATCAGCGAGGAGATGATTGAGAGCGAGTGTGAGAGAATTGACGCCGCCATCTTGCCGATCAACAGGAGCTAGAAGAGAAATAAACGCAATGCGGGGGGGTTACCAAAGCGCCGGGTGTCCAGACCGACCTGATTTGGTGGCGCCGGGAGGGGAGGGGGAGGGGGGGAGGCTTACTAAATTGAGGAAAAAGGCAACCTTGATGAGGATGTTGTTGACTAAGTACTGTTTCCTGGCGGCAGCGTGCCTCATTAGGTCCTCCTCTTCGTTGGTGTTGAGCAGGGACAGGGTCGACTGCAGGTCCTGTATTAGCTTGTCTTGATTCTTGTAGAATTGTCTATAAGGCAGTTGCAAAAAAAACACCACGCTCATCCAAGGGGCAGTTGAGCACACCTTCGGCTTCCTGTGCTGGATAATTTCCCTACTAACTTCAGACAAGCGATATTCAGTTTCTCTACTGACGCAGATCCATAATGTACTGATTTTAGCGCCACAGCGGTGTTCCCATTCGAAACATGGTCGGGTTAACAATATGTCCGAACACGATTACCGGTACCATTCAAAGCTTTGAGCCATCTTTCAGTGGTAATTGCACCTTCGATATGCCTTAATGAGCGTCACTAGCTGATGGAGCCAAATGTTGAGTGTGCAATGTTCGGTGAATTACATTCTTTCCACAGACAACCGACATATTCTTCCTCACTGCACCAGTTTATATATTCTCATCTTAAATTAGCCTCTAATGCCTCTTGTGAACCTATTCCAAATGCCACGACTTGAAGCAACCGTATTGAAATAAAATCCTAAGTAAGGACAACCGGTGAAGGCTAAGAATTAGTTCATCGTTGCTCGTGGCAAAGAATTGTAAGTCTAAGAAAGCAGAATGGATGTTACGAATGTTAAAGAACAAGAAACATTTCAGAGGCAATTGAAGAAGGACCCAAATTGAGCACAGTTGATGGCCCAAGGAACATCAAAAGACTAATTGAACCTGGATTTGCTCGTTGTATCCGAGACAAGCTTTGCGCTAACGTGGCATCTCTCAAGCATCGGAAAGCGTTTTCCTTTTTACCAACAACTTTATTTACGGTCCGGTTATTTCTGAGCTCTGTTGAATTCTATTTGCACGATGCTTTGTTAAGAGGGACTTAACACCACCAGCTTTCAGCTTTCTCTAAACGCCATCGTGAGTCATTAGGGAACCATAAAAGATCTCCCAACTGCGATCAACTAACTTCAAATTAACAGCGCAAAAATGACACTATCGGTTCGCGGTTTCTCAAATTACGTTTTCTTGGTACCCACAGACAGTAGAAGACAGACGGTAGCAGCAGTTATAGGCATCGTGACGATTTTGTGTCAATTAGATGTTACACACGGCGTATTTATGGAATAGGCACTCATCGTTCCAGATGTCAAGCGCCTGAGACCTGGATGATGTCACGTGACGCGAAACCCACTCTAAACTACGTCTTCGTGAAGTCTGCCTTAAGAAAGGTTACAGGTTTGATGTTGTATTTTATTAATCACACCAATTTGTCACACACTGTTTTGTCATTTCTGTCAATAAAAACGGAAATTCACTTCTAGCTATCGTGGAGACATTTGTGGTAGACTTGCATCCCACAAGAGAACCCTAACACCCAGTAGATTATTGAGTTTTAATGAAATGGATTAACACGGGAACAGAGTGAGTTGATTGAAACAGAAAATATCGTGGCAGGGGATTGCAAGCACAAAACGCTCAAATTAAAGCTCACATCTACCTGACGTTCGTTGGTAGTTTTCGGTCTCCGGGTTGCTGCCCGCGGTATTTATCGCGAAACATCGAGATGGGGTGAGACCTCCAGGTCTCCTCTGAAACGAGGAAGAGAATCGATTGTGACAACCAATCAAATTGCTCCAAGTTGTTGCGTGTACTTTTAAACGGCCCAGTACTAACGGCTTCCATCACTGCCACCTTATTCCGCTTCTTGGAGTTTACTGAGCAGAGTTTATTGTTTGAGGATTTTAAACAAAATTTGACGCACTCTAGCGCACATAACAAACAAGGCGTCCAGGTACGAGAAGACGGCACCGCAGTCGATGGCAAAAACGAGAGTAAGAATAGAGCTAAGTTTGAACAAACAGGCGGTTCCAACTGGAGATTATTACGAGATTGTGATTTGGTTTTGAGTGACAGCATCACGCTCATCACACCCAGTGACGTGTGATGTGGAGGTGTTAAGACAAAAAAAATGGTTGCACGAATCGGTCGGGGATCGACTTATCGCGAAGCAAGCATCATGTGAGCTCAGGTAGAACCCAATTCGGTAGAGCTTGAAATTAGCCATATCCAGTAAGCGTGTTAACGATATGCAGGCAAAGTGACCTTTCGAGAACTTTCATGCAAATTGGGGGAAATGTTTTGGTTGTGAGTGATTGTCATATCAAATTCTGCCGACAACCGCGGCTAATTAGCGCCGGTTTATACGACCTTGTAGGCGGTATGGACAAAAAATTCACGCAAAATTAAGCGCACAAAAACAAACAGATGATCTTTTGTACAAACCGCGAGACGTGGTTGGCATTGAAACATCCGCAACCGGGGGAGATGCCTGAGAGTAGTATTTATCTTCATCTGCCTCGTCGAAGTCTGTAGTCCACGAACCAACGTCGACTGTGGTGCGTACTGAATTCGCAAGGGGCCTTGACTTGCTGGCTAATGAACGCAAGTGAATTGTTAAACTACTTAAAAAGATTTTAATCCACCCTTAATGTGCTCATTTTACCGAAATTTCCATCCATGAAAAAAAACGAAACGAGTGTATGCCATTCTGTTGAAGCATGATCAAGTTTAGGTTCGTATGCGTTAATCTAGAATAACTCTTGTGAGACTAACTTGGTTGCTAAGGGTCACCAAACATAAGAATTTCAGGTAAAACAGGGTGGTTTCGTTACTTTTGACCTAAATGTACTTGGCTGTAAGGGCCCACATTAGGTCGAGTCACGTCATCTTAAAAAATTCACTTATATAGGTGTAAAAGGAATTTCAGTATAGAAACTACTTGGATGACTCGTGAAAAGACTCTAAACACAAACAAAACGTAGCTTAAATTTAAGCTTTTCTACAGGAAGACAACAGTAACCACCAACGCAATTTTCAAGCCTGCAAAATGATAGAAGTTGCAGTGAGTTGATAGCAGAGTAATTAGTGGTGGTCGGCACAAAACGACGGAAAGGTCAAAAGTAGAATACAAGATTACCAATAAAATGCTTACAAGGCTCCTGCCAGGCCATTTTTAAAATTGCCATTTAGAACATTCATTATATTGGTGATTATAAAGTACAGCAACTTATAAATTAGCAAAACGACTTAGCCTCAATAAACAGTTTTAACTGAATACTATCCCAACTAAATCTACCTGTCTCAATGTGACAAAAATTTAAAAAAATTAAACCATATGTTGCTGCCAACCATTTTCTGAGGCACAAAAACTAAATTAAAAAGTGCTATTATACGAGGAAATGATAGTGGCACAAGACTGCAAAAAAGGAATACGAGCAGATTTCCTTGGTAAAATTGGGACCGTTCAATAAAAAAGGAGATTACCTGAACTAATCGGACGTAGCTAAATGACTTTACATATTTAATTACCGTATTCCCTATTAATTTAATCATTTTTATGATTTGGCAATGACATAAAATGTACAGGTAACGTTATTCTAAAATTGAGGGTTTTGAATATATTTTAAAATGAAAAAAAAAAAACCTCGAAATTTCACTCAATCTTTTTAGTATGGAAGTAAATCAGTAAGAATTGGGACCATAAGACCAGAATCAAAGGTCTTCGAACCAGGCAAGTACTTGAAAGCAATGTTTCTTGCGTTTTTCTTTAAATTTAGCCTACAAATAGGCAAATGTGAACATATGAAAGAAGAAAACAAAACAACCCTCCTACATAATACAATTAATGACCCAGTAGTATCAGACATTTCAATGTTGTTTAATAGTAAAACTCAAAATTAAAATATTTTTCTGCAAGGAAGCATTTGAAAGCGAGTAAATTTGAATTGAATAGGCAAGGGTTCAAAAATAATGGGAACCAGTCGACCGCAAGTACAACAATGACCATATAATCACCAACTTTTGACTAGAAAAATCTTAACTTAATTTTATAATCGATGAAAAGGTGGATTATTTTGACCTAAGTTAAAATTGCAAAGATGACTCTGACGAGAGCTAGCAAATGCCTTTGTGAAAGTAAAAACAGAATAGAGAAGTTCATTCAGTCACAAACTCGAATAAACAACAAATCGTAAAGACATAAGAAACCTTTAAAATATCATTGAACAATGTTGTTACACCTCAAACACTCACAATCATCCCGTAGCGTCATCTTAAGAGTAAACCGACTAACGCGGTTTAGGACTCAAAGTACATGTAAGACGTCTGTCAAGGTATTCAAACAACTGCTGGTTTAATAAAACGTTTGTCAGTAACTCCTTCTGTAAATATATATGAATTTGTTTAATCTTAGCTTCCAAACGTACTTCGTGTCTTCTAGACGTCCATTCAAAGACTAAGCGCTAACCACAATCTTTAGGAATTTTTTTCAAAAGCAACGTCATCTACTTTTACATTTCCTATAAAGGCAGCAAAATCACGCCTCAAAACATTGCACTTATCTAGATTTTTCCGTAAGTTGGAACGGACTCCTGCCTAAGCACTCCTGCAGCAAAACTGCAAATTTAAATTAGGAATTGTCTTCGAATATTTTATCCAAAACTCGAAAAAATGCCAATAAGAAATTGCGTTTCTTGTTAGGTCACAAACACGCTTGTTAGTAGTGTCTGCTTAAATACACCATTTTCCTTAAAATCCTAAAGATATTAAACCCTTACTTTGATATGCGCACTTAGGGTATCTCTAATCGCCTTTGTGTTTGAATACGGTAATTGTAATATGATAGCTATTTATTTTCTTTTTCATATTTTACATGTCTAGTAGTTAAATCAAATTCTTGCACCGTCCGTGAAGTAATGATAGTTAGTATAGCCCCATGCATGTCTTCATTTGATAGACATGTTCCATTTATTTAAACTAAAAGTGTTTGACAAAGTCAACAGTTAAACTAAAGCTATATTTAATAAGATATATAACTCTGTTTTTAATTATAGTTTTTCAATTAGTTGAGCAGATTAAGGTTAGTAAAAAGGTTTGATTTCGTACAAGCGAAATTTTGTCAAAAATTTAATAAAAAATAAAGTAAATGTGCGTGAATACAATTGAATTCTTTTGGCATTTATTTCCATGTCTAAAGGCGATTTCTCATAAAATGAATTGGGGTCTAATGCAATACCAAACGGTTAATAAAAACATATATTTGACTTTTATGACGCCATGTACTTTTGTTTTTGTAAATTGTAATTTTAGTTAATTTTTGAAATAACCAGATTAGTATTGCAATTTTTTCTGAAATCGGTTGCGCAAAGTGTTTTTTTAATCAAACTAAATTCACTTACTGAAATGTATTTTCAGGATTTTGTTGATTTTTCTGAGATATCAGGAGGAATCTCGGAAATGGATTGTACACAAATTGGAACGATTTTGCATATTTTCAATTGCGTTTCTTAATTATATCTTATACGGCTACTTTTTGGTTTATAGTTGCCACAGTCCTCGATCATCATTTATATTGGAGGGAAATTTTTTTAATTGCATGAAGTATCTATACAACAAAATTTTCATATTTAAGAACATTTTATTGCTTTATTTCGGCCATTTTTGACTTCGAATATTTATGCTACTAATTTCATATTTCTCAAATTTACAGGCATATTTTCTTCTGCCTTCTTCAGAAGTGCCGATAGAATACGTTGGAATACCGGAACTTTTGACACCGAATACACTTTTACCGAAACAATAAATTCTTCGATACAAACAGAGTTAGCAATAAGTGTTTGGCAGTAAACGCATGGAACAAATATTAATACTTAACGCATTTCGGTCAAAACTTGTTCAACATAAGCACCGCATGTTCTGTGATCAAATCAAAATTAGCGCTCATTAAAAAAAGAATTACGGGAATGAATAAATTTGGGATAATATTGCAAAATATCACATTTCCTGGAAAAATGATGTGTCAAAAGACTGTAAATTGGAATAAAAATTGTAAAAAAATCAGCTGAATCATTTTAAGTGACCTGAAAATTTCAGTCTTCGAGAGGTGGTCATTTTGCGCTTTCATTTGTTGACCGAAGAACCATATAACGTCAATATTTCAATTTAGTTGATCCGAAAGGAGAACGAAGTAATAATTTCATCCTGAGTTTCATTGTCAAGTCATTTTTCTGTAATATTATACAAAAGCGGTCTTCGATGAATCGTTCAGTAGCTGCACGAGCTTACAAAGTACTTCAGACGCAAGTTGGCGTTTAGAGTTTCTTAACGTTAAGGCAGCTTTAAAAGCATTTATTTTTTCTCCTAAGGAAAATGTTTGCACCCCTTAGCAATACTAATGCCTAACCAAAGCGAGTTTTTAATTCCGCGTGCCGTGTTCACTCATGTCTTGTTATCTTAGAGTCGGCACTGCGTTTATTTTTTGCTCGGCGATATTTTCATTGACTGAAGTGTCAAAAAATGCTAGTCTGACTTCATTTGGCGCTGCTCTTTGAACAATTGTCACGGCATAAAATAGGTATCTTCATCCGGCACAGATCCAAATCCAGCTGTTTTGATTCAAAACCATCGAAAGCCGGACTATTGCGGCACCATAGTGCGGTTTTGGGGAACCACATCAGACCCAGCGATGTACACTGAAATATCTGGCCAAAAAAAGAGTAGAAAATGCAGATGATGTGTAGCCCAACTTACGCATTGATGCAGTAGAGTTTATGTGTGTAAGGTAGCAATTCAGCTTATGCATTCGTAATGAAGATCAAACGCTAAACGAATACAGTTACGTGAAGTGCATTCATATAAATCGATTAAGTCATGTGTGTTCACGCATGTGAACTGCTTTTGCTCACAATTTGCAAACTGTGCTTGTTTGCAGCTCACCTCAAAATCTTGGTAGTGAAACAAATTAAGACCATTTTGTAGTAAAGTAACCTGCACACAGCAAATGTATTAAATTACTACCACCATCAGAGGAAAGGAGAAGGAAGCAATGGGGTTCTCTGCATCGATAAATGGTCAAACTGTACGATAATCGACTGTTGAATTTTGGCGGCTTTGACAAATATTTGGCTCCGTCTCTTCGTTTAATTAGAAATGGAAATTGTACACCACTCTGCGTAGTGACATCTTCCGCAAAATCCAGAACGAGGCTAAAAGGAACTCTCACATTTGTAAATTTAGTAGTTTATCAAGCATGCAGTTTTTGACGTCATGGTTGTCCATTGATTTTTATTTCACCTGACCTGGACAGGTGATGTCAACAAATTTTCTTTCCTTTTCTTGTTAGTTAGCTAGCAATTCAAGTTGCAGTAACAATATCAGACTCTTTATTATCACCTCAATATTTCTTCATCGGTTTTGCTTCGATGATTTATTCAACTGCGTGTGCATAGCTCTCAAGGATGGCAGCTGCTCTCATGATTTGAGTAGGACAAGATATTATCGGCTGCGACAATCCTCAGGGTTTGTCTAAGTTTGCATTTTTATCATTCTTTATGAGACAGTACTGTGTTAGCTAGCTTTAATACAATATTTAATCCTTAGCTTCAACTCTATACACTATTATTCGATGGCTGAGGTTCCAAGTAAACCAGGAGATTGAATTTACTATTAGTGACTAAAAGATAAAACTTTTGTAAACATAGGCGGCATCGGAGGTAAAAGACAGTACTGCAGGACTAGTCGAATACCATGTTATCGTAAACATTAAACATAATAATCAATCAATCTTAAACTGTAAAAGCCAGCAGAGTAAATTTTGCACGGTCCATGGCATATTGTCAATCAAGGTTTTCTGTGAAAGCATGATGGCATCATGCCAACATAAATATTTGAGTCGAAATTTGATTACATTCGTAAATTAGCATCCTTACCTAATAAATCCACTAAAAACATTGGTGCCTCTGTAATTTGCCTACCACGGGGGGAATTAATGAGTAGATAACTGTCAGACCGTCCATCCGATATGGCCGCACAATTATAGTTGAAAACCAATAATACCAGAGAAGACAAGTAGGATGATGCAGATGTATTTCGTACAACCGTTTACGTGATGATTGGAAAAGGATCGCCATATCTAGGGATAGACTTACTCTTAGATTAACGGGTTTGCCTTAAGAACGGGAAAAAGAGGGAGAGGACTGAGTAAACAAACAAGAAGATAGACGGAAATGCGTAGCTTAAATGGCACGCGTTACACTGACCCCCACCAAGAAAATTACTACCTCATTTCTTTATTAGGTAGAGTGACTAGGGACACTTGCATCGTAGATAAAATTAAGGTACTCAATGATTAATAAGACAAGGCTATCGGCTGCAGAGAAAAAATCCTATCCTTGTATAGAGACCTGGCCTGACCTGTTCTTTGGATAGTTGTATTATTGAATAGGAATAGGACTGATATGTAGCTAAATGAAATGTGGTGCGTGTGAGTAGGTAGAGAAGTAGAAGGTAGGATGTGAATTCAGCCCTCGGGTTTAAAATATGATACATCAAATAGCTGCTAAGTAGCACGCTATGTGTAAAAAAAAATCTAAAATAAAAATTTTTGCATTGCAATCTCTTGTGATAGTTAAGCAAGGATGATCAAAATGTAAAAATTTCTGATGTATTTAAGTGCTAATAAGCATAGAAAATATAGTGAAAGGCATGTGAAGGAAAAAATTTGGAAAGAATAATAACAGTGTTAAGTTCCCAACTGTGATTAAAGACGGGAATCCCCCCTTAAGTCACGTTGTTTATTCACGAACTATTCTTGTTGTTATTACCATATAATTTAGGAATCCATTTTGGGGATTTTCTCTAACCACATTATGATGCAAGCTAGGTTTAAATTCCCAAAAAATATCTTGATTATTTTTGACACGTTAACTAAAACGAAATATAATTGCAAAATTATTTCAATTTCCGATTTCACCTCAGCGTAAATTGAATTGTATCATGTTTTTTTATCGTTTTTTTTAATAGCACAAATTTACACCCAAATTTCTATGATGCTGCCATGAAGTGCGTTTTTTAAAAACTGCAACCATTTTAGTACTCATAAACTTAAATTAAACTTTTTTGATCGTCATGAAACGTGTAGACAAATGAGGTTTGTCCAATTTGTTAAAAAGAAAAGTAACAAAAACACTCGGAATTTTTTCTACAATTCATTTCTGTTAAATGTTTTACTCAGATCACTAATCATGTTAATGTTGTTTCGAAGGTATTTATATGATTGGACTTCAATGCACTTTCATCATAATGGTTATGTGGTTTGTCTGCGAATTTCCTTAACCTGTCGCTTGTGCTCTCTGGTTAGTCAGTTATATATTTTTGGCCCTGAAACTTAATAAAGGGATATAACTCTTAGTTTAATTTCGCAGTTTTATTTTTTGTATGCACACACGGCAACTTCGAGCATTTTTGTTAATATGGGGTATAGCACAAGTGGATCATTGTTCCCTAAGGTTCCCTTGATAGTTTTCGTGTGTTGGTGAATAAGGTCAGCTTTGTCATACGCTTTTAAATATATAAATTAGTGCTGCCTAGGCTATTTAGCTCACAACAGCCTCAAATGAGGTTTGCTTTAGTAATGTTGGAGCGCCCACTTGACACTCCTTAAACACAAATTTATCTTCTCTGTTGGATGGAAGTCAATACCAATGTACCAATGCCACCAGTACATTGTCACACAAATGTGATTAATGTTTGTAACGAGCGTGTAAATCGATCTGCTTATCCCTCATGTTACTAGCAATTATGTAAAACGAAAGTTATCTGAACTTTATACCTATGATAGATGCTGCAAGTTGATGTTACCGTATTACTTAGGGTCCATAGCTAACGAATAAATTGTTGCTCCTTTGCTGTGTTGCAGTCGTGAGTTGATAATGGGATGGCGAAGCTCTCGCAGGCGTACTCGTCGTCGTTCATCATCCTCTTCAACTACGACTGATTCTTCCTCTACCACCACCACCGCCACCACTACCTCAACAACCAGTACCCAAGCCTCAAAAAGCAGTGAAGATACACAAAAATTCCGTGATGAGCTCTCTAAAATGGGTCTCTGTCTACGCGAAGTTCCAGCTGACGGCAATTGTCTATTTTCGGCTTTCTCTGATCAGTTGACCGGAACCTTCAGTAAACACGCAGAACTGCGTGCTCAAGCGGTTGAATTTCTCCGCGAAAACCGCAAGGAGATGCGTCCCTTCACTCACACCAGGCACTTTAGCGCGATGCTGAGCGATCTCGCTGAAAATGGCACTTACGGAGATCACACCTCGATTGCGGCGCTCGCGCGTGTTCACCGCGTTAATGTGGTGGTTCACCAGGTGGGACAGGCCCCCCGCCTGGTCGCGCTCGGGAGCGTGTCTCCCCACGTCTGTCACAGCCATCCTCAGGTCCACTTGGCCTTCCACGAAGACATTGCACACTACTCCAGTGTTCGTCGCCTTGACGGCCCATCAGGCGGACCTGCTCACGTTCACATCGATTTAATGCGCCTTGAAAAGAAAGCAGCGAACTTCCAAAAACGTCATCGACGATGCCGACGAAATTGAGAGCTGTCAATTTTATCTCAACCTTGCCCACAAATGTAACTTGCAAAAAATCCCATTTAAGCAGTCTTTCAACTTAAATCTGGTTTGTACCTTTTCCTTTTCTTATTTGTTTTATCATAATAAAAGAATTTTTTGTGCCGACATTGTTCTCGTCCCTTTTGTTTTTCTTCACCGGAACATTTCTTCATTTGGTCAGTATTTGGTTAGTGTCACCATGGGAAACCAGGTCTTCGGAATGACCTCCTCTCAGGTGGTCGGCAGTGAAGAGTGTTTGCGCGAGCTCCAGAGTTGGCTAACCTTCGAGGAGGAGCTCTCTGGATCCAGACTCTTCAAGGTAGCCAAAGCACGGTGAGATTTTGTGCCACTTGTCGCGTTGCCTGTACTCCACTCGCTTCTAACACTAACACTGATCCTCCCCACGCAGGTGCCTTGTCGGCAAACGCCCATCCCGTAAAATCGTGAAAATCTTCGCCTACACCAAAGCCACTTTCTCCATCGAGACCATTCGACAAACGGTGATGCCTTTCAGTCGGCGCATCGACGGCGCCGTCAATCTGCTTCCATTGAATACGTGCGTTGATTTGCTTTGCTTTGCTTCCCTCGCCTTTCCCCCCTCCTCCCACCGTCCATTTATGCTGTGTGCTCTTTGTCGTAGGAACTACATTACGGACAGGTATGCCTTCATCATCCGTGACTTTGTTGACCAGTCGCTGACTGAGCGCCTCTGCACCCGCCCTTTCTTGAGCCACGACGAGAAGCGTTGGATAGCGTTTCAGCTGCTCTCTGCCGTCGACCAGCTTCACTCTTCCTCTTCCTCCACTAACAACTCTCAGGTGCGATGACAAACACGTCTTGTGGCGGTTTCGGTTTTTATGCGTGAAGTAGAACCTTAGTCAAATCTGTACCTTCCATTCTGTTAAATAACCCTTCATCATTAGTCTAGTTCGACATGGTGATTTTGCTGTCAAGGAGGTGTCGCTTTTGCAGTTTGCTAATTCTTTGCGCTATGAGCATGATTGATGTTGACGCAAATCAAAACTCGATGTTGTTTGTGCACTGTTGTGTCTCTGTTGACGATCAATTTCGCATCGATAGGAGTGTGAGCCCTTTCAGTTAAACTTGACCATGAGTGCAAATAATCACGATCCGATTCACTCGTGTCTTTTATCGTCCACACATCCACGGGCAACTGACATTCTGGGGTTTGGCTGGCCTAATTAGTCACCCTAGGCTAATTTGCTGTGCTATTTGATGTTTACTTGGCAACAGCCCCTGTGCCACGGTGACATCAAGTCGGAGAACGTGCTGCTCACGGCCTGGGGCTGGCTCTTTCTCGCCGACCCGGCACCCTTCAAGCCCGTCCAACTTCCCGCCGACAACCCAAGTGAGTTCACCTACTTCTTCGACAGCTCGCGACGTCGTGCCTGCTACCTGGCCCCCGAGCGATTCACCGATCCCGTTCAAGCCGGCGGCATCGGCTGCGAGGGCTTCGGTTCGGCTCCGGGTTTTCTCCATCTCGGAGGAGACGACGAGCAGGTGCGCTTCCCCACGTTTTGACTAGACCTCCTCCCTCACCCCACCCCACCCTCGATTCTATTTCCTTGACTTTTCTTCGCCTTGAAGGCTGACTGGGCCCCAGAGGAGGAGGAACACGTGTCCTTCGGTGAGATCGCTGACGAGACCCTCAAGGCAGAGGATGACGATGAAGGGGAAGTTGGGGTGTTTGTGCCCACCCCGACCGCCTCCATCGCCGAAAGGCGCCAAACGGGGAAGTCGGAAGACCTAGACCTCCCTCTTGGACGGCTCAGGCTAGTGGTGTCTGGTTCGTGTCTAAGGTCCACCACTGCCTCCTCCTCCTCCTCATCGCCACTTTTGGAAGCCATCGGAGACTCTCCGGAGGGAGAAATCGAGGCTAGCCGCAGCGAACGCCACCTGCGACCGTCGATGGACCTCTTTTCTGTTGGGTACGCCGTGATTTTCACTGACAAACACTGGCGTACCTGCTCCGCTTAATGTGTGTTCCACTCTCTATGACTTGCTAGGTGCGTGCTGCTGGAGATGTTCACTGACGGACTGGTGGCGTTTACGCTGTCCGACCTCCTGTCCTACCGACGCCACCAAAACTGTCGCCTCATGAAGCTGCTCTCATCGGTTGCGGATCCGGCTGCTCGTGTACGTCAGTTCCTGGTTCACTTTTGAAATGACCTTCTCGTGTCATCAGTCAGTGGTGAATTTGCCACTCGATATGGAGCTGTTCGTATTTTGTCGAATGTCTAACTAGGAAAAGACAGCCCTTGTGTACCGCCGCTGCCAGCCAGAGTACTTGCTAACTAATGATGGAAGCAGATTAGTTGGATCCGTTCAGCTGAAATGTCTCTCCTTCGCCTTATCCCTGATAAGGTGTCTTGCTTGTCGTAGGCGCTGATAACGGACCTCGTGTCGCTACATCCAGAGGGACGTGGGACTGCCGCTCATCACCTGTCGGCACAGCGCGGTGGCCTCTTTCCCGAATTCTTCTTCACCACCCTGCAGCCGTTCATGCAGTGCTTCCTGGATCCTTGCATGGCCTGTGCCGATGCGCGACTCCGTTGCATTCGAGCGTGCGTTGCCTCACTTAGTTTGACCTCTTTTAAGGGTTTTACCTTCAATGCACTCTCAGTGACCTCAAGTCAGTAGTTTGCTTGCCTATTCAGCAACCTCCCGGGCCTCCTTTCGCGTCTTCTCACCGAGCCGCCTGAGGCCAAGTCGGCCGCGTCGATTGTGCTCTGCAACCTGATCACCTCGTCACTGCGTCACAACGCGGCCCCCGCGCCCAACACGTCGGACTGCCCTGCAACAGCGCTGCCCTTCTCCCAGCCTAGCAAGGCAGCTGTCGGCGGCGCCCTCACAATCCCCGCTAGAGCCCCCTCCGAGGGGGCGAAGGTCGATGCCATTTTGTGCCTGCTGCTCCTCGCTGAGCGCCTCCCATCACTGCGTCTGTTCGATCGCCTTTGGCCGCATTTCGTCGAGCTCACAGATTCCAGGCATCACAGTTCTGAGGTGCGTGCGTGTGCGTGCGTGTTGGCGATAGGCGAATCTCCAAACGACCACACACGTACGTGAGGCTAATCTCTTATTCCCTCGTGAACAGGTGCGACGTCTGGCGTTGGAGGCGCTAGTACAGACGTTGGATCGTGTGACGAGCATGCTCTCCTCCAAGGCCGCGTCGCCTCCACCCGTGGCGGAGAGCGAGACGACGTACGTGTCGGTGGTGCACGACATCCGTTTTATCAACGAATTCCTCCTTCCCTGCCTCGCGCCGTTGGCCGCCGATCACGACGTCGAGGTGCGGATCGCCATGGCGCAGTGCCTACCGCGCTTCGCCGACATCTGCTCGGGGTATGGTCTCGCACCGTTTGGCCTCAAAACGCTCCATAAAACGCAGGATCTAGCTGATATCGCTGTGTTTTGTTGGTGTGTGGATAACGGTCTATGAGACGTTGAGTTAGATCCGATGCAGTGTGCTCATGATCAGCTAATTTATTTAGAGGAAGCACTCAGGCGTTTTGCAGTTCCCTTTCCCAAAATTCGTCTACTGCAAATTCAAAATGGACTCGGTTCCTTCTCATGCCTGAACCTGCTTGCTGCTTTAACGCGCTCGCCTCTTCTCTGTGTTGTAGGCTTCTAGAGTTTGCGAGGTTGCGCCTGATGAAGGAGGAGGCAGAGGGAGATGACGCCAGTGTTGATCAGGTTGGTGCTTTTTCCCGCGTCTCTTCTTGTGTGGCCCTAGCGCATTTAAACTCACGCATTTGGCATTAAAGTCATCATGCCTTCGGATTGCGTCTTCGTGGGCTATATTTGTATTGGAGACATCTAGCGGTAATGCCTTCGCTTCCCGTCGAATTCCGGTGGTACTGCACATTCGATTTTCAGCGCTTCAAGCCCCACAGCCGAAACTAACAAAAAAAATATCCGGTCATTTCGCCACTTCTTCGGGTCGTGTTTTGTGTGGCTGGGCAAAAATCATTCAGCCAAAAAAAACCAAAAAAAGTCACACGCTGCATTGATGTCAGGTGATCGAAATTAGAATAAATCGCTCTGGTCAGTGAATAGGCTTCGTGAATCGTTCGAGTACGACTCGTGGAAGTACTCTTCTTTACCGATAAGAATCAATATTTACAGCCACCCGAGTGTTCATCTAAGTGACGTCTTTCGGTCCAAGTAGTCAATGTGGAGATTTTAGTGAAAGCCGATTTGCATAATCTTGGTTCCCCTCCTCCTCCTCCTTGAAGGTCTTCCCACTGCCTGACGTTGGCACGGCTCTGCGCCTCGTGGGCAAGTCGGTGCCCACCCGCGGAATCGACGCGGCCTTGAAGAACGCCAAGGCGCAGTTGAAGGACCGCCTCGTAACTCTCTTCTCGGACACCGACAACTGTGTCCGACGTGCCCTCATGGAAATCAACGTGTTGGCCAAGTTGGCCACGTTCTTCGGCCCCTCGCAGTCCAACGACATCATCCTCTCGCACATGATCACCTTTCTCAATGACAAGGTTTGTCACCTGTCTTCTCCAGCCCTGGATGCGCGTGCGTTTCACTCACTCGCTCGCTTGCTCGAACTCGGCCTTGTCTTGTCCTGCAGAACGACCCGAATCTGCGCTCGGCATTCTTCAACCAGATTGGTCCCCTGACTGGCATCTTTGGGGCACAGTCGGTGACGGTCCTGCGTCCCCTCCTCGAACAGGGTCTCTCCGACCCGAACGAGACGGTCCTCGACGCCTGCCTGCGTGCCCTCGGTCACCTTCAACGCCGCGGCCTCCTCTCCGGACCCGCCTCAATCGCCTTCCTCCGCCGTGCTCTCGCCCTCACCGCCCATCCCTCCGCGCACATCCGGCAGGTCAGTGCCGCTGTCACCCACTCTACACTCTGGGGGTGGTTCCGATCTTTAAACCACGTGGTTAACATCTCCTCTCTGTTGAAGGCTAACCCGACTCTTTCCGGAACACTGTGTGTGGGTGTCGCTGACCCTGTAGGTTGTTGCAGTCTTCGGTACTTCACCAGACAGGCGTTCGACCACTAGTGATATTCTGCGGGATTGAGAAAATGTCCACGTTTTTTTTTTACCTAAGGGCACGGAGCTACTCCAATTCCCCTGTCAAGATTTCTAACGGAATTGGCACGCTGTTGGCTGAAATTGGAATTTTGAAGTGGGGTCTTGGAGTGCAACCGAGCGGCCTACTTGTTTTTGACTCGGTTACGAAATACCCGGTTAATTAAGTTTACTGATCCCAAAAGTCCAACTGCCATTGCATTGTTTTTGCAATGAAAAGCGGAATCGAAAGAAATAGTCGCTGTATCATACGTCTGCAATCACGCTCCGCGCTAGTAGTGCACTTCTCGTGTCCTCGTTTGCCACATTGTGCGTAATCACTCATTTTTTGGTGTCTTAAACACATAGGGCCGCGCATCCATACTTGTTTTTTTTTTAACAAAAAAAAACAGCGTCACGGTGGTTATCACAGTGGCGATTACTACTGTAACTCGTGATTTGGCGTGCCACAATTAAATAGTACAAAAAACGGTCACATTGAACTTGTGAAGGAACTGGCTCCGATTTCAAGATAGCGGTCGTTGAAGTCGCTGATTGCTGACGGTCACCTACAAGTTACCGGCCTCAATCGTGATGCCGGGTGGCTTCAACAAACACAGTTAATCTCACATCAAGTAGAACTTCATTCTACGACAGTAACCTAACCTGACCTGTGCTGATGCTCATTTAAACAAACACCTGGCCTCTGATTGGTTCGCTGCTTCTACCCATCTTCGTCCCTCTCGATTCAGGCCTGCATCGCCTACGTGACGGCCTTTGCGCGAGTGTGCACGGACGCCTCCTCCAACCCCACCTTCGGTCCGCTCGACGATCGATCAATCGAAACAGCGAGTAGCCTGCACAACCCTCTCGCCAGCAGTGTCTCGGATTTGGCCAAGTTCGCGGCTGGAAAATGCGGCCTCGCCAGCCTTTATGCCCACCTCGCCACGGACGAGGTCAACAAAAGGATTTTCGCGTAAGCACTGTCCAAATGTCTTAGTCTAGCTGTCGGCTCAAACCATTTCCTGGTCCGTTTGCCCATTCAGTGGCGCTGTTCAACAAATTTTCACTGAGCAGCGCTCTAAGGTGATGTAGATTTGTGCCATGTACTCGGTAACGGTTCCGTCTTTTTTTCATCGCACACACAAACCAGGCGTCCAGTTGGGTTTTCCTTCACGAACGACGCCGTGTTGCTGTTCAGCCTCCACCCGCCCCTTCGCCACGCCGTGCTGGAAGGCGTCGCTACTGCCTGCTTCGATGTCACTGCAGCCTGCCACAGTGACGGCACCTCCGCGCACACAGTTGCGGCCGCGCGCGAGCTCTGCGAGGCGTTTGTGGAGCATCTGAAGGAACGCCAGGTGGTCAGGTCGGTCACCAGGGCAGACGAGACGCCTTGGTACCCTGTGCCCGCGGTAAGCCCAACAAACACTCCCCTCCTCCCCCGTCTAGCAGTCTCTGAAGGTTGTTAGTTGAATCGCTTCTTGATTTCCGCCAATCAGGTCGACCGCTTGGTTCGAACCAATCACGCTTCGCTGTCCTTGCTTAACCACTGGTTAATGCCACAGATCACAGTATTTTCTCCTCCTCGTATATTCTAGAATGATTTGGTGACAGAGGTGTTGAACCACCCGCGGTTGCGAGAGTTAACTGCCCGCGCGGAAGACCAGCTGCTCCAATTATCCCCCTTGCTGATTAGCCTGTGCCAGAACGTGCGCGACCCCTCGGAGGTGTTGTTTGCAGGCGGCAGTGCCAGGACCCCCAACCACCCCCGCCTCCTGCTCTCGGTCGTCGCCGCCGCCGCCGCGTCGGATGGCGGTGCCTCGGACACGGATTCGCCCACTCTGCGGGCGCGGTGGCGACCTCTGTGCGCTCACGACGGCGTCCGCATGCGTCGTCTTCAGCCCTTCAACTCACCCGGTGCGAAGCTTCGATGTCTCACCCCCCCTCTCCCCATAAAAATAACTCCAGTGCCAGGTTCCTCTCTTTGCTGCTTCCGATTCCACTGTCGCGACTTCTAAACGAAGTGCTCGTTGAAACGACGTTCCATGGGACGTCTGCTTCACACCGTCGAAGTGTCGCTCGTTTTCCACCTGTCAATACACAAGTTTGTTAGCAAGACCGTCCACGTCTTGGGTTGTATGCCTCGGGTCAATGCGGCAGATAGGGGGTAGACTTGGACAAATGATTTCCACTGTGACTGGAGGTCGATTCCGATTGCATTCAACGTTCTCCACCAAACGGTGTCACGTGTGGTTTGTACAGAGAGTAAGATTTGACCGGCGATTCGGTTTGTGTTGAACTGGCTTCCAAAAGCTTCGCTCCTCGCTAGCTGGCCACTCCTCAAGTTACCGCTTCGCTTTTGTGCTTTTACAGGCTCCCTGCCCGAAGAACCCACTCTCCAAGAGGCAGAGACGAAGTCCTCCGACCGCGACACGTCCCGATTCGCCCTGTGAGTTTACGTACGATTTTTTGGCAAATTTACGACTTTGAAGGATATTCTTTACATTTGCGTCCTTGTCGTATTTGCGCTCCGTATTTGAAAATGCGTGCAGTGAAGTTTCAAATATCGCCAACATTCGTTGAAGCCGACTCACGATCGTTAAGTATTACTGCTTCATTCACATTGAGCATAACGTCCATTGCATCGGCTGAGCCTTGTGCGATGTGACCAATCAGAGCAGCCCGGGGTCGTTTCCAATCCAATCACATTTAGCCTATTCACCAATCGGATGAGCGTAATTTGCTCACCACATTGGTCCGGTCTCTACCAATCAAGTGAGCGAATAACAATTCCACAAGGTGATTGGCTCACCACATGGAACCGCAGGCGTGGTTGCTTTTATAGCCTTTCAATTTGCTCCCTCAGAGCACCGATGAAACAGGAGTTGTCCTTCGTGGAGATATTGTCTCAGCGCATGAACGAGGGCCGTTTCCCGCTGCCGACTGTGCCACCTCCCGACGTGGTTTTCGCGCGCGGCCTCACCATCGCCACCCCGCCAGATGCAGCTGAGAATGGCGTCGACGGCGGATACGTCAATTTGCGCGTCTCGACTGGCAGCACTCATCATCACCACCACCACGCCTCGTCCAGCATCACTCCGCCCCTCCTGCGCGAACACACAGACATTCCAGCCTGGGCCCTGGGCCACACCAATCGCATCACCCTTGTTGCTCATTTACATGAGCATGTCGCGGGACACTTGAGGTACGCTCCTACTCCCCTCCCGATCCAGTTGGCGGACGGGGGGCGGCATTCAAAGCTAATTTTGACCGAATTTTCCTTGTCTCCTTTTCTCCAGCCTCGCTTCTCATCCGTCGAAACAGCTCCTCGCCTCCTGCAGCAGCGGTGATGGCCAGGTAAAGTTTTGGGATTGTGGCCGCGGCACGCAGGCCAACTCCGGCCACAACAACAACAACGCTCGGGATGCTGAGAGCACTGATGACAGCGATGATGGAGACCGGGAGGAGGAGGAGGAGGTTGAAGATGTTTCCATGAGCGCTGCGCTTGGGGGACAGTTTCTACCCTCGCGGTCCCTCTCCACCTACTCGGTTAGCCAACAGCACGACTCTGCCGATGGCAAGCCTAGTTGTCGGGTAAGTCAGTCGTTTTCAGTCATATTGCCAAAACTTGACTCGAAGCCTATTGGCCCAATCCTGAGTTGACCAGTAGGCTTTGAGCCAGTTTCGTCCAATCAGGGAACGTTAACTGCACCCACATCACTTGCTTGCCGTATTGCTCTAGTACCTGGTATGGACGGACGCTGGAAGCAGCGTGGCGACGTTGGCGAATCGATCGGCGATCCACCTGGTGGACGACTCGGTGAGTTGTTTGCGCTGCCTCATTCCCGTGCAGACGGCGCATCACGGATTAGCCACGTACTTGGCGGGTCCTGCGACAGCCTTTTGCGGCGGCGTGCCCACTCCCTCGTACGCCCTGAGCGGCACCGACCAGAACCTCATCGTCTACTCCACCACCAACGACAACATCGTCGGGCAGGACGTGCGTGCCAAGCAGCCGGTGTGGGTCGTGAAGCAGAATCGCGAGCACGGTCAGTTGCGTGTGTTGTTGGCATCGAGCACGCAAGGCGGCCTGTGCGCACCTCAGAAGTCACTGGTGTCGGTTTGTTTTCAGGTCTCATTCGGTGCCTTGTCGTGCACAGCGGTCACACGTGGCTCGCTGCGGGCACGAGTCACGGCCACGTCGTCAACTGGGATCTCCGCTACCAGCGCGAGATTTCGCACTTCCAGCTGCCTTACGGCAACTGCGTCTCCATCACCGGGCTTAAACTCTACGAGTCGCAGCGCAACTCTTCCACCTCTACTCTGGTAAAACCCTTTTATTTTACCTCCACGCAGTTTTGCAGAATTATTTCGATTTCGCCTTTTGGCATTGGTGAATGAGCTGACTAATTGTGCGCATGAAATCATTGATAAGTAAATTTTGTGGGAACACGGAACTTCTCACACACCTTCTCACCGCCATAACCCTTCATCTAACTATCAAAATGAGGGAATCGTCTCCGATCCTGGCTGTTCCTCTTTTAAATACTCGAAACACGCTCAAATCACCCAGTCGACTACTGCTTCCCCAGCTCACTATGTGCAAAAGGATGATTTGTGGACGCTGCCGAATGTACCGCCTTATTCTGTTCTGCTTCGCCTGCAGATTCTGGTGGCCACCGATCATCACAACGAGGTCGCCATCTTTGATCTCGAGGCCTCCAACGCGCGCTCGCCGACGACCACGCGTGTGGCCTCCACATGGGCCCAGTCGACGTCTAGACCCCTCGTTCTGGACAACAGGTCGCTTCCCTTTCGCTCGGTGCACAGTCTCCTCGTGTTCCCCCCGGTGGCTGCCAACTCCCTCACGGTGGGTCGGCACGCCAAGTTCTCTTCCTCCAGCGTCCAGCTGCCGAGTATCGTCGCTGGCGGCAGCGACGCTCGTCTGCGCTGCTGGACGATGTCGCGTCCCGATGCCTCGTCGGTCCTCGCGTGGGCGGGACGCGAAGAGGCCTGCCAGCCATTGGTCTCCTTCAAGTTAGTGCTTTGTGCGAAGTATCTGCTCCCTCAACGCCTCACAGTCTATGTGCCTTGTAAACCTCGCATCATGCGAGTGGTGGAGTTTGCGAGCAATCTGGCATAGTTCACAACCTACATGGTAGAAGTATCTTAAACATCGAACTAGTCTTTGTCTCAACACAACACGCTTTTTCCCCAGGGAGAAACTGATTGACGGTGTGCGTGTGGCTGTGGAGGTGGAAAACCAGCCCCAGGCAGCAACATCAGCAGTTGGCCCCCCCGCACCCTTTGGGAACCCCTCCCTGTCACGTGGATCGAGAGGGCGAGACAGAAGTAGCTGGCTCAACCCCACACCCGTGTGTCCCCTTGAGATGGGCGAGGTCACTAGAGGACACACCAACGCCATCAGCGACTTGGCGATGGTCCTCCACGCCGGCCGCCCCTTCCTCGCCTCCGCCGCCATGAACGGCGTCATCAAATTCTGGAAGTGATTTGCGACACACCCTATGTGTGTGTGTGTGTGATTACTTGTAACACATATTTTTCTACGCTTGTGATTCCTCCGACGCGTGTATTGTACCTGAATGTTATTTACTCAGTCTTTCAACAGATCATCGCACATGAACATGTCTAGTTTTCTTTTTACATTCGAAGGAAGGCGTGGTTCCCTTCGCTAGCCTACACTGTTGACTCTGTATAACGCCTTGAAACCAACACAAAATACTGACAAGTAATGAAAAGTAAATGCGTGAGCAGTTTAATTGCGAAGTAACAAAAGCACCAGAAAGTCGTCGACGAATGCCAGGCCGGAGGAGAGTCGAGGCGCGGAGAACTTCAAAAGGCTTAGAGAGAAACTGCTTGGCGCGAGCAGCAACAGGGTGTACTTGTAGGCATCCGCAGACGCCTGTGTGGCGGTGCTCGGCAAGGGCGTGAGGAAGGCTGCCCGCTGTTTCAAGCGCAAGTAGGCGACGAGGCAAGTGAGCGGTCTCGTCAGGTCGTCCTTCCTCGACTCGTCTTTGTCCACCTCGGCCTGGTCGGAGAGAGCTAGGAGGATGGAGAAGGGTGGGGGTGAGGAGGAGGATGAGTCGCACAGAGCGGCATTGATTTGCACAACAGCGTCGGCCATCCAGGCGGCTTCAGTTCGCGCCTGCTGAGGCATCTGGAATCGCAGGACACTTCCAGTTTGAAAGGCGGCGCACTGTGGCAACTCCTTGGCCAACGCCTTATCACCAACTACGTAGAGACAACGAAACTGGAAGACCGATTTCTTGGTGTACAGCTGTGCAGACCACAGATGTGGCCGAAGGAACGCCTCCAAGTCGGGCATCGTGACGATGGACGAGAGGACGGGGTCGTAGGTGTCGTTCATATCGGGTCGGAGTAAGCTATCGATGGGGGAGGTACCACAACCGCCGTAACGGGAAGAAGGAGCTGAACGACGATGCGGACCCGAAAAGGGTCGTGAGTGTCGAGTGGAGTCGTTCTGCCGAGCCGGCCTCCGCTGGCGCGTTTCCTCCATCGGAGCGGGAGCAAAGGCAGAGGCATTGTTGTCGCTGTTGCCCGGACCCCGCATTAAATCGAGTGCAGCTGCAACGAATGGATTTTGGAAGGGCAGGGGCGGACGGAGACCAGAAATCAGTTCAGGCACCATGGGGAATGCAGTCGGAAGGGGAATGAGCGAAGATTGCCTCGGTGCTTGCAGCATATCCTTCTGAATATCACCGTTAACGAAGTCTACCATCAAACGGCGATTCGGATGGCGTAATGCCAACGCCTTCAACTGTTGGTTCGCCTCTTCGGCAACTTCAGCGTTTTGAAAGGTGGCGGTGGCACAATTCTGCCTATACTGCCAGTCCAGGCTGACAAGAGTCCCAAACTGATTGAGGAAGCACTCCAGCTCCTCGGCATCCCGCCAATTGTCAAGTCCACTTATATACAGCATGTTGGAGATTAAGGGCTTTCCGAAGCCAATTTTACAGTGATAGGAACGCACGCTGTTGCCGGACATCTTGTTCTTGGCCAGAATAGCCATGTCAACGTTTACAAAGCGCACAAAAGCGTAGGCGTGGGAGGAGCTTGGGTGCTTGATGTCAATCTGTTCGACGACGCCGTAGCGTTCGAAGGCCTCGCGCACCTCCGAGTCCGTGATGTCGGGCTCGAGGCTGCCAACAAAGAGGGTGCGTGTCGCCTTGGGGTCGTTGATGGGCTCGGGTTCGATGGATGCGGGTCGACTGGCACGGCTGGAGTAGTGCGCACGGCTGCCAGACGCGCGCTGTGGAGAACGCGATCGGCGACAGGATGGGGAGCGACGACTAGCGTGTCTGGGCGACGACCGCCGACGTGGAGGTGACGAGTCCTCGTATCTACCTGAGTCACGCAATACAGGCTCACTTTCATCCCAGACTTCCACATTCAACGGTCTGTCATCAATGAAAACTTGACGTTTGTTCTTATAGGCGTTAAGGGCATCGCTTGAATGACTAAAAATTGTAGAGCGATTATTACAGTCACAAAACCGTGGCATCAGACAAAAATGTACATGACGTGGAAATGGCTTATATAATTTGGTCGAAGAGGTGCCTAAAAATGACTAAAATGAATGAACACGGTGGCGTGGGTGCAACAGCTTTACCATTGAAAGACGTCATTTCGACATCGACAAATGTGTGGAATAAAATAGAACCATGTCAAATATAATAAGCTCTTGCGATTTGCACATCAAAAAAATAGACAAATAAGAGTAATCATACAGTCCAAATCATTTTAAGGGAACAGGCATTTAAACTAAAACGTACCGAAAATTTATGAGAGCTAGCCTTCTCTCTGAAGACTTGAAAATGCGTACATCCACACTGCCGAAGGACGAAAACACATTGTGCAAGTACTCTTCGAGTGTGTCAACATCATACTTCAGCGAAATCTTCCGAATGCACAGAGTACGGAAGCTCCGTCTTTGATATGAATTTGTGTCGGAGAGGTGGATTTCAAAAGACCGTTCACGATGTCGTTTTAAGTTACTGCTTTGGGTGCCCTCACACTCAGGTTCTCGTTTCCTGTCATCTTTGCCCATGCGCACGAAAAAACCGTTTGGTGAGGCCGTTCAAAAAAAGCGATTTTGTGAAAATGTTAGAGCGCAGACATGTTGGATCATGCTGGGCTCAGCCAATCCTCTGTAGAACTGCACATCAAGGCTAGTATGGAGGACTTGAGTTTGTGCTTCATGTTAGTTCGCAGTGGTAAACACTTCCATACCAATCTCCGTCGTACTACTGCTCAGTTATTTTACAGTAGTTACCACTAAAAAAAGGTTAAGATTATGCGATTTTATTTCAAAAAAATTAACAATCGTTAAAGCAGGTTATCATAACCAATTACATTCAAGGAGTGTACAAAAAATATCAAATAAAAAAATTGAAATTTAAATTGACTTATAAGTGTCCACCTAAAATGTAAAATATAGTTTCATCAAAATATTTAACCTAGCATCTACAATGTGCTAAACGGCGTTTTAAAATTGCACTAGACACAAGACGGAAATCAGGGGTCAATTAATTAGTGAATCAACGCAGCGGTTGAGTCTATAAAAACATAATTTCAAGTATTTTGTAAAGGTTTCATCACTAAAAAATATCTATTTATTCATAAACAACATAATTCTGTTGCATTTTTTGGTGCATCTTGTCTGATATCAGAAAAATTACTGCAAAAGATATAAGATGCAGAATTTGTAGAATAGTTCTGATGGAACATTTCAGTACTAAATTGAGCTTTTTAATACTTTGAATGGCTATAGAAAACTGTAAGTCAACTGCTTCAATTGTTACGCTGCCCACATCATCCTTTTGGTCTTCGCATTGACCAGGTGTCTTTAATGTGCTTCTTATAGAGACCTTCAAAGCTGGAGCCTTTTTAGATGAGTAGTTAACAAAAGCCCTATTGGCAGATAACATCTATCTCTGAAATCTGGTTAAAATCTTCGCCGATCAGAAGGCAAACGTCCCACCTTAGCATGATTCAAAGAGACTTCAATCAATTATCTACAATTTACTTTACCCAGCAAAATTCGCTTGGAAAATGAATGTCAAGCGTCCCAATATATACTTATGCTTTTTTTAATCTAAATTCAAAACACTTCTTTAAGGAGGCGTAACCTGTTTTTTTTTGCGAGATCATAACAAGTAATAATGCAAAATGCCAAAAATGCAAACGGTGTCATGCACGTACAAGGTTATGTGAGAGATGGTGATAAGCTTGCTGTGAATCGCGCAGAATCACACTCATTAATCCGGTCACTCCAGCCTCCGATACAGGGTCATCTCCGCAGGATAATGCAATATTGTCATGGTTCTGTGATGGATCCTTCTCGTTCAACGAAGCCTTGCGAGGTACAAAATCCTACCTACAACTTTCGCATGCATCTCAAGCACTCATGCTAGATGTGGTCTCCTTGACTGCTGCTCCAAGCACAATTTAGTTAACAATTTCATCGATCAGACTGCCTGACCACGACTGACTCATCTTGTACACTGTTAAGAAAGTGAAGGTTAAAATGCGACGAGGGGTTTACACAGACGACCCCTGGTGATTCAGCTATGACTTCGGACCGACGTAGTTACCTTGTCTGGTGAGATGCATCGAAGCACCACTAGAGTGCGGAATTGGTCGAGTTGTGTGTCCCACGAGGCCGGCAAAGGCGTCAAGTGGGGTGATTTGGCGTCGTAGAACTTTTTCCATTCCTCAGTGTTCTCAATCACGTGGTCTTTCAATCCGTCGAACGAGGCCATTTGGGACAGACGACAGAGCTGCAATGATCGTGTTTTCAAAACAGTTTATGCAGTGCCAGTGCATGAAATTGACAAAAAGGCAAACAGAACGTGCTTTTGGCGCAGTTTTAATCAACATGTGGTGAATTGTGCTAATCCACGTACAACGCATCGTCTTCGCTGGTTGGGTGGACACGTTTGGGTTGGTCCAACTAACGAACGTTCCTTATAGTCTAATTAGCACCACTGGATAGCTTTCTCTGGTCCTAAAGATCCAATAAAGATGGAAGTGTCTACTGCGCAGCTATTCCTTTCAATCTGCCGATTTCAGTATGTGACCGAGCTTACTCAGTGCAGAACTCGTTGTATTTGATGAGAATCGCGTATATTCACACTCAATAATCCGGTCGCTCCCTTCTCCAACACACTGTTCCCCTGCTTACCGCATGGCATCAAGCGAGCGGAACCTCAGTCTACACCTCAATACTGCAAACAAGCAAGTAGTACCATTCATCTAGGTCTCGATGTTAGCACATTTATTACTCACACCGACTCATACACACGCGCAAACGCCACACGCGACATCATCTTGGTTGAGCTCTGGGGTAAACGTCCTCTCTGACCTTCTTCATTGTGGGTAGCGTAATCTGGCCTGTCTCAACATGACGGGGCCCACAACATATTCCCCACTCACGGATGGCTATTATTAGCAGGCGAACAGCATACATTCAACCTTCGCCGGCCCTGAATGTCTTATGCCGACAACCATTTCAACTACTCTGCCCCACTGAACACTGATGCATAACTTGTCACAAGAGATGTCGTGGGTCTGGTCGTCAGTGTAAAGTAGTCCGTTAGGAAGCAAAGGTTGTTCCCAACTTCCGATGTGGCGTACCATCATTTATCATAAATTAGGCCTTCAGTCAGATTTCGACACCAGAAGGAACCACAGCATAGAGTCATCTTATTCTAGCATAGGAGAGGGGAATACGAGTACCTGTGCTACAACTAGATGGACTTTGAGCAAGTTTGTGAAAGAAGATACGTTCCAAATCTTTGGAAACCAGGCCAAGGAAGCTACTATTGACAGAGTATGTCACTCTACCAAAATGAGTCCTTCAGAATCTCACAAAAGGCAAGGCCACGTTTAAGTCCCGTCACTACGCGACCATGCTGTGTTCATCTCTTACTAAAAAAAAATCAAACCTGCAATAGTTGGTAAATCGGCTACCGCAAAATCGACCAATTTCAGTACAAGGCTGCTCTTTGGAAATAAACAAGGGGAACACCAATTTGAACTAAGTTTCGCCCGAAAAATATTGACGAAGATTGAGAATTGAAACTAAAAGCAACTTTGTTGGAACGTTTTCATGCTATTAGTCAAAACCATCATCATCTTGTAACAAGAACAACCTACTTAACAGCTGAGCTAGCATTTCTAATGAAAAACATTTACCTTAAACTATCGTTTTACAAATAAATTTACTAAATTGCCCAAAATGTCTACTATTTCAAACACACACCACACGCTCACTTACATGTCTGGTGACGGAGACAGAAAATGTCCCATAAAGGTGTCTTAAATCAAACAAAAGAAACGAAGGAGACGTGCCATTGGCGGTTGAATTCAATTCCACAACAAGTTAAAAGCAGGAGGTAGAAAATGGCACAGGGGGCAAGTGAGCACCATGGCTGAGAAAAAATAATTTTATTTACGTCCAACGCATTAAGCCAAATTAATTATGCTTTTGACTGCCGCCAGACTGGTCCTTGTTCGCCTCATCACCATCCTCAGTCTTTTTGGATGGATCCTGCTCCGGCTTTGTGCTAGTTAGGGATTCGATTGCTTTGCGGACTTCTTCGTTCTGTGGGTCGACCCCGGGCAGGTGCTGTAGCACTGACTGGAAGAACTCTGAATCATACTCAGCTACACCATCGCCTTTTGGCTTGACTTCTAGATTGCCAGCGGGACCACTAGAGACGTTTTCATGGGCAGGTGCTGCCGCTGCGGAAGCTCCAGCCTCGGGCCGCCGGACAATCGGTGTTACAGCAACATCGTCCACATCCATCAGATTGTTGTTGTTCTAAAACCAAGAGCGATAAAGTCACTTCGGGATAACCAACGCAGACACACACAAGTGTAAGTGAAAGACATTTTTGAAGCCTAATTTCAAAGGGAGATACTGCGATCACACATCCAACGACAGGTGAGTTTACTGATTACGAAAAAAAGCAAACAACTGCAAATTTGTTGAATATTTGAACCATTAGATACGAGGGGCAGAAATCAAGTTATCAAAAAATTAGTTCTTTAGCTGTTTACTGCATACAAAGTCGACTGGCGACATATCTACATAGAACAAATTCTTTGACAACATAGCTGAAAACTACTCATAGGGCATGGTTATGAGTAAAAATAAGAGGCAAATACCGGCCTGTCGAAATTAAAGCATTCAAATTAACGAACTAGAGAAAAATAAAAAGAGGACATAATGAAATTTCCTCTGTCAATTGAAAGAAGCCATAATAGCGGTAGCGACTGCTTTTGTTTCGAACTTTTGACTACACATAATTTAAACCAACATGCAAGCAATGACGTAACATTAATAGCAGTAAATGTCAGCAAAAGATAAATAAAAGGTAAAAAAGCAGCCATTTGGATACAAGAAAAAACAGCTCACCGAATTATCTTTTTGGGCATCATCCTGGGGTTTTTCCTGTTCCTGAGTCTGCATAGACATTTGAATAGCGTAGGCAATTTGCTCCTCCTCTGTCATATTTGACACATCCACCGGGCCGGAGCCTGGGCCGGAGTCAACCTGCATTGACATCGCTAGTGCCTGTCTCAGTAGATCCTCTTCCGAGGTTCCTGTACCGCCAGGTAAAGCGGTTGCAGCTTGAACACTAGCTCCGGCATTGGCTTCCTGCTCCTGTCGCATCCGCTGGTCTTCCATCGACACACGAAGGGCGTAGATGAGGTCGGGATCGTCGACCGCATCCAAGCCGAATTCAAGACCAAGACCACTGCCAGCAATGGCACTGCTACCATCCTCACCAGCCACAATAGGGCTTGTGGCCAATGACTCGTGCAAAACAGTCCCCGGAGGCACTGTAACCAAGTGCGAGCCGGAACCATCTTTGCCGTTAACATTTTCTATAAAATCCAAAAGTTTCTTTTGGTTGACTTCATCTTCACCGAAATTGACAATATCAATGTTGACCTTTTCCTTCTTTAAGCGTTTTGCAAGTTTTGTCATCTAAAACAAACCCATAATGAATGCGGCAAGCTTACTTCCTCCTCTCCGTCATTCACTGGGCTTCCTATAAAACAAACAATACGCATCTTCTGATGGCGCAGCTGTCGGTGACGAAGAGCCAGGTGGGCAATTCGCACAGAAGTACAAAAATCTATCCCACCCTTCGGCTGGATCAAGTGCAAGCGGTTGTGAATCTTGCTCATATCGCTGGTTAGTGTGCACAAGACCTCAGTGTTAGCCAGGGAAATCAGTCCAACGGTATTTTCCGGATTAGCCTGTCGCTTGACTTGGCACAGTAAATTAACCGCATCATTTTGAGCCTGAAGGCGCGACGGGGTAAAATCACCATTTCGCATAAAATCACTGTTGTCAACACTAGGAATATAGAAACACATAAACAACAACATACGCTATCATAACAGCCTCCTGTGACATTTTCAAGGTGAATCACAAAAACACTTAAATCAGTGGCCAAGCATTTAAATCAATACAAACAACATGCAGTGAAATCACATTTTAAATGCAGTTTCGGTTAAACCTATTAACTGATGTGAACGTGACCAATACTTTATTGTGCATTTCTATTCATAAAAAGTCGCAACATATTGTAACAATGATTTCGAAAATAGGAGCTAAATGAAAATCCTATCTATTTTTCGATGAGATTATGCTCAGTTCAATTCATACTAAAACTGACAGCGTTACAGCTTTAATCAAGTGCACTGATGTAAAATTATGCACATTTAATTTTTCCCTACCTTCCATTGAAAGCAAATCGAATAAAATATTCTAACATTTTTTTAAATTTTGCAATGTAATATTAATAGATTTGGAACATACCGATTACCAGTCTTTAAATATGCATTTTAATGCCGTTAGGTCTCTGAGAGTTTATAATAACTAGCAACTGACGTACTTTTGATTTATTATTTTATTGACTTGATCCTCTTTGAGCAACGAAAAATGAAAGCATAAGTTATAGCATCCTGCTATTTTTTTCAATTTCTAAAACTAGATGATTATTGGCTAAGATGATACTCTAGTAAATTTAAGACGAATTCTCTATCTTGAAAACTGTAACCATTTTTCAGAATTACCTTTTAACACCTTTTCTTGGAATCACTGACTTTTTGCTTAGATATTAGACTAATTCCCCCTCGGCGCATTCCACTGGTTCCTTATATTCATTGCGAATAAAAAGCAAGCCTCTTTAAAATCACATCAGTTCAAAGGCTGCACACCATAACTAAGTAATGACGAACTCCTTTCTCCTATTTCTTTGGCGCATCGGGAAACAAATAATAGCCAACATGTTGCTGATGCTAAATGCAGCTTTCGCTGTCACAAAAAAACCAGAACAATTTCATTGTCCACATAACTATGTATATCTGCAGTAAATACAAACAAAATTTATAAAATCAATATTATTTTGCTTAAAAATTTACTATAGAAAATGAGAAGAACCCACATTCAAAAGACCCTTTGTGTTTTCAAACTGGTCTGTTAAATTAAATTAAAATAGTTTATCACTCAGTATAAATATAAACATTTATTTGAGGCAGTTTTTAATATTACTATTCCTTCACGAAAACTGGTCTCCAAATAATTACAATGTCTCAAAACCATACAGTCAGTCTTGATCTTGGTTAAACTTATGACATTATTCATCTTAATTTGTTTTCAACTTTGCACAATTAAAATAACAAATGAAGAATTAAATTTAAAAATTCTATTTGTACAATCTTTTGACCATTTTTTTCGAAAATCGTATACAAATACACCATGTGTAATCAACTTCGGAAACAGCAATCTGTGACGTTTATTTAATAGCTTTGACAAAAATACTTTTTGATCTTTAAACAAAAAAATAGCCCTAGAAAAAAGCAGAAAAAGCATTTTTTTACTTTTTAATAACTTTAAGCGATAAATTTGCATGCATTTGTTCTGTGTTTATATCGTTCGATGTTGAAAGAAGCAGTGTACACCAAACAGGCGATTTTTTGAAATTGTCAAAGTCAAATATATTTAGCACTGTTTTTTGCACATATAACTGTTACCATGGCAACAACGAATTGAAAAGCTATCATTTAAATAATGTTTGTTTTTGTGTAGACAAGTGATTTTAGGCTGTAGCCTTAATCGTACTTTTTTTACTATGTGCTTTTGTAACAATGGGCATTTTAGGTATCACAACTGTGTACTTTGGATAATTCAAATGCATACTTCGGGTGTCTTAATCTATTCAAAAATCGAACCTTTAATGTAGCTATTTGAAACAAATATATTTTATAGTTGTCTTTTGAAAAAAAAATATTGGTAATGACTGTCAATTAGCGCCATTTTTCCTCTTTGTTTCAGAATATTGGAGAGGCCCCCCTATCTAACCTTGCTGTTTCAACCAATCATAGCAAAGTCTGACCTAAATATTAAGTCAATATTGAATTAACATGAGAAGCAGCCATGGGATTTCGTACCCTGACAAATTACCCCCCATAGATGATGTTAGAAATTATATTAAGTCTAGGGAGGAAGATCCAAAGCTCAAAGCTATGCTTGCGTATACAATTGCCAAAGATCGGGAAACGAAATATAATAAAATATTGTAAGATACTGTGATGCAGTTAATGTATTCTAGGCGTTCACGTGCAGTTGCGTCAAAATTTATAACTCTGGAGACAGCTAAGAAAAAACTGCAAGAAACCCCAGTGGAGCCGGAACTCCCTCCTTTCGTAGGAAACTTTTAGTTAAATATAATAAATTCATAGATGTTGAGTAAAAATAGAAAGTTGAGAACAGCATACGAAAGTCTAGTCGAGTGCTTTAAAGAAAGTGACATTCCGCCAATACATGAAAGCTGGTTGCAAAATATAACTTGCAAAATCCCGGAAAAATTGCGCAACGGAAAAGAAGCTGAGCTCAACCAGGTCCTGGTTGAGGTCCAAGCTAATTTCTACAACAGTATGCAGAAATATTTACTGCAACAATCGCTAAAAAAGCCTGACATACCGGGACTAGAAATGGATGATCTAGAAGCCGTCATCTTAGAACCAACGTAATTTATTTCCTCTGTGTCACATTTGCTTAGTGGCATGAATTTCGCCAACCCCTGGCACAAGGACTATATCGCCCACAGAATTGAGCTGCAGGATCGATTAATGCTTCTTTATCCACAGATGACAAAAGTTCTCGAGATGTGCGAGCGTTATTTTGCACCTCTTTCGTTAGCAGATGTCAATGTATTCCGGTAAGCAATCTTATTATTCGAACACACTTTGATAGTGAAATGGGTGCTGTGGATTTTGACGTCATCAAGAAACGTGTTAGAATCGACTGCGAGAAGAACACCCAATATCTAATGGACAGGTAAATTATGATTGCGTCTATAGTTTAACAGATGGTTTCCGAGAATTTGTTCTGTCTTCTTGGGGAATAACCGTATTCCTTCTCTAAAACAGGAGAGACTGACTGTATTTTTCAACTGCACGAATGTTCTCCTGTCGAATAAAGTTAGTGTGTTTTTGAAACTAATCCCGATCAGATAAAAACTTTCCTTGAACGAAACCTCACTAGCTGGACTGACTTGTTTGATGAGAACCATAAGGAGAGACTGCCTGTGCTAAAAATGTACCTCACCTTCGAAAACCAGTGCGTGAAGTTTTTCCCAGGTTACGAAGATTTGGAGGAACTCCTGTTGTCAGTGGCCAAATTTATTGTGGACTGTTTACAAAAGGTACTTGTTAGACATTGTTAGCTTCAACTAAGATGGACGTTATTAGACAACATTTATTGGCCCGTTTTTTTTGTGTTTGCATTTTATTGTGTATCCGAGGTGGGTAGTGTATACGCGAAGCCATATTTAATGCAGTTGGTTTTATGTATAAACACGTTGACGTAAGTACGTGTTAAGCTGGTTGATGCCTTTAAATTCAAACTCTTCTGGTCAACTTGGAGTTTTAAATTCTTCAGAATGCCTCATTATTCAACCAAATTTGACTTGTGTTTTTTCACAATGTCACACACCGCAATTTCGTGGTAACATTTTGTGATATAGTGTTTTTTGCCACTTGGATAAGTCCATGTCGACCGCAAGAGTCACATTAACTGTCAGTCTCCTTGCTTCAAATCTCTTTGATATCTCGTGTCATCTTCTCCGAAGTTAGGTGTTAGATCAATCTAATTTACCCTCTCAATTTCATCATAAATTTTTTTTGTGTGACCTTTTTTAGAGCATCTATGACTCCAGCAAACACCTTCACTTTTCATGTCAGTTCTCTTACCTTAACACAACCTCAACCAGTGATTTCTAGTGGTGGTATAATTGTGCTGTGGTAGCGGATGGAGCCGGGTAATTGCATCAAATTCTGGAACTCACACCAATATGTCGCCGTGTGTTTAATTAGAAACTGAGACACCTACGTTCGTCTGATGGATTGACCAAATCATCAGGATTGTGTGTGTGTCATTGATACACGGATACCCGCTTGACCAATAAGAACGCTCGAAAACTGAGAGTGGCTGATCAGACAGTCAGGGATTACTGTTTAAAATTTCTTCGATTTTGCTAGGTGCCAACAATGTATTCCATCGTCTCGCGATTAGATCCTCCCAGATACGTCGATGCCAAACTAGCACCTCACATCATTACTTCTGTTCACGAAAAACTGAAGCACGCCGCTAAGTCTTACTTTGAACCGGCCCTACAATTCTTCCACAAAACTATCGGTATGTTTGGTAGTAAATCCAGTAACCTCCAGCTCAAAATTTTGCAATTTCTCACGTCTCCTGCTGTCTACCTTAAGTGGAACCCTATTCCTACATTTTCGATGGTACGGAGGCCAAATCCGTCGACGAGTTCTTGAACGAAGACCCGGAATTCAAGCTGTACTGCGCAGTAAGTTTGTTTGTTGAGTATGTGACACAGGGGGCGTTCACAGGGGGGATGACGGAGTCGATGAGCGTAAGTCATTATGACTCTTTTTTTCTTTGGTAAGTACGTAGCAAAACTACGAGGCCTGGCACAGGAGGTGACACTCCTTCAAGACGTGGAATACTTCGACCTGATCCGCTTAGACTGCGAAGACGTCAAGACGGGTCTTTCGAAGGAGTGCATGCGAATGGCGGGCGTTCTCCTCGAAAACGTCGCAAACAAACTGCGCCAAGTGAACAGCGAGTAAGTCCCCGAACACCTGAAAGCCTTTTCCTTATTGGCTGGAGTAAGTAGTACTCAGCGTAGCCTCCCACTGGTCAGTCTGATTGGTGTGTGTGCGCGTGCGTGTGTTTACCGACGACCTTGTGTTCAGGATTTGCGCGGGCTTCGAAGAGATGCAGGCGAAGTGTCGCACCGTGCCCCAATCGAGCGAGGAGCTGGTTGAACTCAGCGCGTACATGGAGGAAGCGCGTTGCCAGGGTATGGTCCGAATGGAACAGAAGATTCAGGTACGTCTGTAGCCCCACTTCAAGTGGTTGTCTTCTTACTTGATGCCCAAGTGTGTCAGCTATCGATGGGTTAATCGCACTACTCACATCTGTCTCCATGTTGAATTCTAAAGTGGACCCGGGAGTACCTCACTTACCTGCTGGATGTGTACGAATTCACTCCTGAGGACATCCACATCAACGGCCAGGTGATCACCTGGAAGGCAAGGATCAATCCAGAATTCGACGCCAACGACAAGGTAGGTCCCTCGCAATTTGGAGCTGATGTGTGCTGTTAGTTTCCACATGAAGTCACAAAGTAGCCGTCTGAACAGCATGTCAAAGGCACTAGTTTATAGAGGGCGCTTTGTGAGGGAGAACAACCAATGAAACAGCAGTTAGAGATCACGGCAGTATGTCGACTGTTCCAGGAACCAATACCAATCCAATCTCGCAATGAAGCTTCTAATAGGTGGATGACTTGATTTTTGCAGATTTTGCAGCAAAGTTATTTTATGGAAAAAATATAGAGAACATCAAACTCGATCTTGGAAACATGGACCGTCGTCTTCTATGACCTTGGGCCATCTCTCAGGTAAAGTACGGATGCCGTCGCGAACAAAACTTGCAGGCTTCAAGTCATTCACGATTTTATGCACATCGATTAGCGTTTTAGAGACTGCTTATCCACTAAGGCGTGATGCTGCTGCATTGGCCGGAACAAACGGTAGTCGGAAGGGGTGGGGCCAAGTCTGGTGAATGTTCCGTGTGTGGAAGAACTTCCAATCCCAAGTTCAAGAGTGTCCTGTGAGTAGCGCGAGCAACGTGAGGTGGTCGAGCGTTGTTATGCAGCAGTAGTATAACTTGCCCGCCTCCTTGCCAAGTAAATGGTCCCATTCTGACCAAGTGCTTCGATCAGATTGTTCAGTCGTCGGCAGTAGCGTTCCGCAGTCAGTGGCTGACTAGTCTCCATGAGGTCGTGGTAAAGTACACTCTTCCTGTCCCCGCATTCGATACACGGGAGAACCTTCTTCAAGTGAATGTACTGTTTCAGCGTCGATGCACTATTGTGTTTGCCCGGGATCTACTCACGACTTTTTACGGTTGGAATTATCGTTAAAAATGGACCTTTCGTCACCCGTCACAAGTTGCCACGAGAGGTCAACTCAATGCTTGTTGCCGGCGAGCAACCAGTGAGAGGCATGTGTTTATACGTTGACCAAGATCTATATTATAATCGGTAAACACATGTGATCAAGTTCCATGCTCACATTGTTCAGATTGTCTGTAGCTGCTGCAAGCTCTTGTTGCGTCTGCGTTGAGTCTTCATCCAGTAGAACTTGCACAGTTCCGCATCTTTCAAGCATTCGAGGCTGGTGTCTGGGTCGTGACTGGTTGCTATGGTCGAGCTCGCTACCTCCAAAACACTTCTACCAACAATTAGTCGTTTCATGAGACATAACGTCGGCAGCACCAAGAACACTACAAGTTGATTCCCCGCGTGCTTTAGACGCAGCGTTTTTGGCAAGTTGGAATTCGTGTAAAATGCAGTGCCGCCGAAGGTGATGTTTGCCACCTGCCATCGTCGCAACCTCTGCTATTCTGAGATGTTTTATAACTCACACGCAGACGTGTTGTTCGGTGTTGTGAAACCTTGCGTCCGATCCTTTCAAAGCCAAAAAAACCACGAAATAATTTCATTTTTAGTATCATCTTAAGTTCGCAGAAAAAGCCTGTTAAGATAAAGTCATCCTGCCTTATTCCTTCAGCTGCAAGAGAAGATGCACGCGGTCAACGAGAAGCGCATCTCCAAGAAGCGCGACCAACTGGCTAGTGACTTGAAGCGGCTGCGCAATCGCGTGGACGAGTTCAACGACTACGGCGAGGTCAACCTGGAAATGGTAACCCAGTACGTTAACGACGTGCGTGTGGTGTACAAACGCATTGCCGAGGCGGAGAGCGTGCGCGAGTGGATCAATAAGGAGGAGAAGCTGTACCAGATTCCCTTCTCACCGTTCTCGGATATTGAAGATATCAAGGCGCTGCTTGATCCCTTCCATCGCCTATTCACAACCATTGTCAGATACTACAAATCGGAGAGGAGGCAAGTGTTTTGTGATCAGGTCACCAGTGCCATTTTAAACAAACCTCGTCTTCATCACACGCTGATTGGCTGTCTCGGGTGACCTTCTGTCAATTCACGCAGATTCGAAAATGTCAAGACAGTGCCATCGCGAGTGCTTCTAGGAAGTAGTACCATAGCGGCAAAAATCGATAAAACTTTGCTAGCGAAACGATATTGGCGGATACGTTAACTGCAAGCCGATTGGTCCCTGGCCTCACGCCATGATTCTGTGATTGGCTGAATCGTACCGAATTTGCTTAGGCATTTGAATGCATGTTTGTGTCTATGTGTTGCATCATCTCTTATGAATTGATTAGTCATGCGTTTCAAATGTGCCTAACGGGACATTTGCAAACTGGAACGTCAGTGTAAATATGATTAAGTTAACAAACTTTCACTTAGGAAATTAAAAGTTCTTAACGGGGGGATTCAATTTGTTGACGAGATAGTGCCATCGCCATTGCTCAAAGAAGTAATACACAAGAGGCAAAATCGATGAAAACAACTTCGTTCACGCATTGGTTTTAGTTGATGCGTTTACTGCAAGCCGATTGGTTCTTTGCCTCGTGTCATACTTCTGTGATTGGCTGAATAGCACCAAATATCCTCATTCGCTTGAATGTGTGTTTGTGTCTTTGTAATGCTACAGCGTTGACAGATGGAGCATTATCTCTTAAGGCTTGCTTAACCAGACGATTGAAGTATGCTCCAAGTGGATGTCATTTATTCCACCAGGTGGATGTATGGCGAATTCGACAAGCTTGACGCCGAAGCCGTGGAGAGTGAGGTGGAAGAAACCTGGCGCGAGATGTTCCGCCTGCAGAAGGTCTTCGACAGTCGGTTGAAGAAGATGCGAATGGAGGCAGACGAGAAGAACAGGGAGCGCAAGGAACGCCAGCGAAGACGCGCCACGGCCGAGAAGGGGGAAGCCGACGACGAAGACGACGACGAGATCACCGAGGTCAAGCCGCCAGCCGCGATCGACACGGTCGCCTTCATGCTCGAACGGCTTCGGAAGTTCAAGGTCATTTATGGGGTTCTGTGTGTGTGTGTGTGTGTCAAGGCTTTCATATTAGCGTCATATTAGATCCTTTGTTGATTGTCTAATGCGTCCACAGATCCATCCATTGAAGTTGGAGTAAATTCCCTTGTTTAGGAAATCGTGCCGATTATTCGCATTCTCTGCAATCCGGGCATTCGCCAGCGTCACTGGGACGCCATGTCCGAGATCGCGAACCGCGACCTCACCCCAGACAGCGGCACCTCCTTGTCCAAAATGCTCCAGCTGAATCTGACCCCCTACATGGAGCAGTTCGAGACCATCTCTGTGGGCGCGAGCAAGGAGCACACGCTCGAAGTGAACCTCATCAAGATGCGCGACGACTGGGCGGACGTCTGTCTCACCCTCATCCCCTACCGCGAAGCCGGCTTCTCCATCCTCTCCTCGGTCGACGACATCCAGCAGCAACTGGACGACCAGATCGTCAAGACCCAGACGATGCGCGGGTCGCCGTTTATTAAGCCCTTTGAGACACAGCTCAAGGTAAGTGCAGCAGTGGTGCCACCGGTGTTAAACGTAACTGCCGATATTAACAGAAAGCACGGTCTGTCAGGATATAGTATGTGGATGGCCTAGTTTTTTCCAGATTTTGCGGCAAATTTACTTGGCATCAAAAATAGGGAACATCAAGCTTGATCTTGGAAATATTGGCCATCGTTTTCTACGACCGCGTGCCATCTCTCAGGCAACGCACGAATGCCATCGCAAAAGTAACCTGCAAACTTCGAGACGCTAGAGTCATCGACGACGAATTTACGCACACCATTCAGCATTTTAGAAACTGTTTATTCACTAAGGCGTGCTACTGCTGCATTGGCCAGAACAAACGGTAGTGGGAAGGGGGACCAAGTCTGGTGAATGTTCCGTGTGTGGGAGAACTTCCAATCCCAAGTTCAAGAGGATCTTCTAAGTCGCGAGACCAACGTGAAGTGGTCGAGCGTTGTCAGGCAGCAGTAGTATAACTTGCCTGCTTCCTTGAAAACTAAATGCCCATATTCTGATCGAGTGCTTCACTCAGCTTGCTCAGATTGTCAGTAGGTGCTTGGATGATTCCTAACTGAGCTGCTGCAAGCTCTTGTTGTGTTTGCGTTAAGTCTTCATCTAGCAGAGCATACAATTCCGCATCTTCAAACGTTCAAAGTTGCTGTCCGGGTCGCGGCTGGTCCCTTAGATCGAGTTCATCGCCTCTAAAGCAATTGTACCAATAATTACTCGTTTCATGCGATACAACGTCGCCAGCACCAAGAACACTACAAGCTCATTCCACACGTGCCTTAGACACAGCGTTTTTGGCAAGTTGGAATTCGTGTAAAATGCAGCGCTGCCGAATGTGCTGTTTGTCAGTTGCCATTGTCGTAACCTCCGGCGTCCGATCCTTTCAAAGTCACTAACGACCACGAAATATTTTCATTTTCAGTGTCCTTTTAAATTTGAAGAAAAAAACTGTATTAAGCAATGTTACCCACCTAAAACTTCGAGAAAAAAGTTTAAGTTCCACACACCTGAGACTCGTCAAACTCTGCTTAGAATTGCCCTGAAATGTTGCCAATTTTTTCCGAATTGAGAAATGGGAGGAGCAACTGCTTCGAATCCAGAGCATCATCGAGAACTGGTTGGTGATGCAGGCCAACTGGCTGTACTTGGAACCGATCTTCAGCTCTGAGGATATCATGCAGCAGATGCCTGAAGAGGGTCGACTCTTCATGGCGGTCGACAAGACCTACAGAGACATTATGCGCAACACAGCTGTCGACACACACGTCCTCAAGGTAAGATCTTGACCCAGATGGTATCTTGAAATCTTATTTGATTGGTTAGCTCTCACGAAAATCGATTTAATGTAAACATTGACAAGCATTTACCACTAGAACATGTTTCTCAATCTGGATTGGTTTAAGTCACTTGCCTATTAGCGCTACACTTCCTTAAGGCAACTTCAGTGATTGGCCTGTTGGAGCGAATCAAGGAGGGGAATGCGCAGTTCGACAAGATAAACAAGGGTCTAAATGCGTACTTGGACAAGAAGCGCATCTTCTTTCCGCGATTCTTCTTCCTCTCCAACGACGAGATGCTTGAGATCCTCTCGGAGACGAAGGACCCCTTGCGAGTGCAGCCGCACCTGAAGAAGTGCTTCGAAGGCATCTCCAAGCTGGAATTCGACAAGAACCTCGAGATCAAAGCCATGTTCTCCGCTGAAGGCGAGAAGGTGACCTTTAGCCAGGTGGGTCGCGTTCGAGATGTGGTCGACTTTCTCCGTGACCATGGATGCTTGATTGCTCTTTTACTCCTGTAGACAATCGACACATCGAGTTGCCGAGGCGCTGTGGAAAAATGGCTCTTACAGGTGCAGGACGTCATGCTTCTCTCAGTACATGACGTTGTTGCCAATTCCAGGGAGGTGAGTTCTTTATAACTGCACTATCACCATGTGCTGGTTCCTAATTGATACAACTAACCAATCGTCTTGCTGCTCGGTGCTGTCTTGTGATTGGTTTCCACCACTGAAGTGTACTCTCACTCTCATAGGCCTACGATAGCGACCACCGCGACATGTGGGTGTTGGATTGGCCTGGCCAGGTTGTGCTGTGCGTGTCGCAGATCTTTTGGACGCTTGAAGTGTCCGAGGCGATCGCCTTCGGTCAGACTGAGGGTCTGGCCGGCTACAAGAAGAAACTCGACTCGCAGATCGGGGCGATCGTGCGTCTGGTGCGTGGCAAGCTCTCCGCGCAGGAACGCATCACGCTCGGAGCACTTGTTGTCATCGATGTCCACGCCAGGGACACTGTGCAAAGCATGGTTCTTAATAATGTGTCCGACGAAAACGACTTTGAATGGCTCTCCCAACTGAGGTACTACTGGGAGGACGACAACTGCTTGGTGAGTTCAGGCGTCACGTCTTTAGGTCCCTAAAACGCATAGAACCTGTCTCTCGCTTTGGTCAACCAGTTGAAGTTGCCTTAATGATGTGGCTACCACGAGAAGCATCAAAATCCACTTGAAAATACCATGATTTTGTCAATGTTTTGGAATCCGCATGTTTTTGTAGAAAGCCACTTGAATCAGCCAATCGGCATCCGCGACATGCATTTAATGCTGAATCCGTCCAATCACAACGCTAGCACTACTTGGGTTGGTTATTCCGCACGCGAATTTAAAAAAAACGAAAATAGTCTCTTTTTTTCTCCCTTTGCTGAGTGCAAAAGTTTAAACCGAAGAAATCAGCATCCAACCACCCGAACATGCTGCTATATTACTGGCGCATTCGTTTGGTCCAATCACACCGTTAAGCCAACTGTGATTGGTTCCTTAATTGTGCGCGATTGTTTGATTACTGGTTACAGCTGAAGTTTCCTCAGTGTCTCATTGGTTTTCACTTGTCTGAATAAGGTTCGCCTGACCAATGCGATAGTGCCGTACGCGTACGAGTACCTGGGAAACTCCCCGCGATTGGTCATCACACCCCTGACGGATAGGTGCTACCGCACGCTCATTGGAGCGTACCACCTGCACTTGAACGGCGCGCCAGAGGGCCCGGCTGGCACTGGCAAAACGGAGACCACGAAGGACTTGGCCAAGGCCCTGGCGGTCCAGTGCATCGTCTTCAACTGCTCCGACGGCCTTGATTACATCGCCATGGGCAAAGTAACCGGCTTTTCGTAATCTTGCTTAAATTGTTTGCCTCGCACGTGACGAGATTTTGGCTCTTTTTGTTTGTTTTAATTCTAGTTTTTCAAAGGACTCGCTGCGTCTGGCGCGTGGGCATGTTTCGACGAATTCAATCGCATTGAATTGGAGGTGCTCTCTGTGATCGCCCAGCAGGTAGGTCCAAACAAATTTATGATTGCTTTGATTGGTTCATTTTTTGGATTCAACAGAAGAGCTGAACCGTGATTGGTTAATTACAAAGGAAATTAATTCTCCCTCGTTTCTGCATTGATGGCGGATCCGTTAGATCGAATTGTCCAAACGTCATTTTGTTTTAAAAACATCGCGACGATGCACAGGATTGGTTCCTATTGGCTCATCCCCCATTGGTCAACTCAAGGCCAGGCCACTTTCCAATATATTTAGAAAAGGTTGACTATCCTAGCATGACGAATGAAAGGCGACATTGTGAGGCCACTTCCAATGAACTCGTGGGTCATGTTTTAAAAACGGTTTGCACAGGATATCGACTCAATCTTCCATTATCATCGGAGCTTATGGGTCGATAAATTCATTCGTCCAGCCCGCGACCTTGGGCTGACCAATAGACGATCCCCACCTTTCTGATTGGTTTACCTAATCATATCCGTTGGTTTTTCCCTCCTTAATTAGATTCTCTGCATTATCCGAGCTATTCAGGCCAACTTAGAGGTGTTTGAGTTCGAGGGTACCCAGCTGAACCTCAACCCGAACTGCTACGTGTGCATTACCATGAATCCTGGCTATGCCGGACGGTCGGAGTTGCCGGACAATCTAAAGGTTTGCGTTTTTTTCCATTCGGCCCCTTTACCTCCTAATCCCCCTCGCTAACCCTTCCCCCCACCCGGGTAGATCCTCTTCCGTCCCGTTGCGATGATGGTGCCGGACTACGCGATGATTGGTGAGATTTCCCTCTACTCCTACGGCTTCATGGATGCGCGCAATTTGGCGGGGAAAATCGTCACCACGTATCGACTGTGCTCCGAACAGCTCTCCTCCCAGTCGCACTACGACTACGGCATGCGTGCTGTCAAGGCCGTCTTGCAAGCGGCTGGTAATTTGAAGTTGAAGCTTCCTGAGGAAAATGAAATGATTCTGGCAAGTTGTGATTGGTTACTATTTGAGCGAATTCTCATTGGTCATCATTTGGTACTAGCTCTTCAAGTTGTGATTGGCTGACACTTGAAATGATCTCGGCAATGACATGGCCGAGTTCTCATTGGTCGGAATCTGAAGTTATTTTTATAACTGTTCTTTCCAATTGTCTAACAGCTCCTTCGCTCCATCATGGACGTGAACGTGCCCAAGTTTCTCTCTCATGACATCCCACTTTTCCGAGGCATCGTCTCCGACCTCTTTCCCGGTGTTGTGCTGCCTGATGCCGACTACACGGACTTCCTTGAGGAGGCGGTCGCGGTCTGTAAACGTCGGCACCTCCAGGCAGTGCCAACATTCACGGAGAAGCTCATCCAAACCTACGAGATGATGATTGTTCGACACGGGTACGCGGGTTTACTCTGATCCCCTCGGTCGTAGCACTCCACTAACCAATCGTAGTCTGCATCGACTCAAGCCACCTGGCATTGTTTAAATCAAGATTGAACTCAACTCACGATGTGAAATGTCATTGGTTCGCACGGATTTGATGTCAAAAATCGATTGTGTTGAGTTGTAGTCAAGGTGTGGAATGGGTTGTGTACATGTGGACACAAGTGTTGCTTCTGCTAAAACTCAAAACCGATCTCAACACACAGTGTGAGGCGTGATTGGATTACATTGATATCACTTGTCAACTTCGATTATTCACCGCCAAGCGATCACTTGTCTGGCCTGCCATGTCTGATCTACGCCGATACTGGGAGATCTGCCGAATCACTCACCACCGTGATGATCACGCAGAAGCGCACGGTGAGAACGACTTGCACGTTCTAAAGCTGGTTTGTGCAGACGTAATGTCTACTGTTTCCTTTTTATTTTATCAATATTGTTATGTTTGATTATAGCTTCAAATGTCACACTACCTAGTTGGTGTTAATTCCGTGTAGGGCATCTACGACAAGCTCGTAATTCTTCGAAGTATTATCAACCATGTTGGTACGATCCGCATTCGAAGTGTTTCTGGTTATGAATCAGCGTGAGAATCAGCAAAGTCTGCTCAAAGTGCTCCTGGCGATGATTTTGTCACCGAAGGAGGCTTTTTTCGCCTTCGAAGTAGAGATTTCAGATTGACAGATAGAAGAAATTAGGGTGTGGAGTTTCTGAAGCTACAGTCCTACAAACTGCCACCTTAACCTCTAAGTGACTTGAAGAATAAGTGCACGTCGTCCAGGCAACCACTCTGCGTCGTTTTAACAGATTCGGAAAGGTTCCAGTGATTGGAAATGGAATCAAACACATGAAGTTGTTCCAGGACATCTCTGACAAGATATAGGCAGGCTTGCTACTAGGGCCAAGTAGTAGATCTTCAACTACAGTGTTAAAAAGCCCGCGATCGGAGATCGATCGACCGATCAATCAATGAGGAAGATCAAAATAGCAACTGGGAGGAGGGCCTTCATCCGAGTAAGACCATGGTGAGTGTAGGGCGAGCCATCGAAAAGCGATCTACTAAGAAACGTCAGTTAACAAGCAAACAATCAACTGAACCCTGTTGATTGTCGTCCAGCCAGTCTGTCGTCGCAGTCTCCGACACACTGCCCACCCTCCCCTGCCACCTCTTCGCGGCGAGCACGTCAGACATGCGGGACCGTCCGAGCGTGTACCTCCCCCCTCCCTCCCTCTCTCCCTATATTACCGTTTCACTCACACGATCATTCAGACACTTGTGTTACCACTGCTTCCACCAAACTATCTTCGTCAGCAACCAACTAACAACCGATTAGTGTCTTGTTCCTGCCTTGGGTACTTCGTGCCGCCACAAGCACGCGTGCGATGCTTGGCTCTGTCGTTTGAAAACAATTTCAAGTCAACGCCATCCAACACAGGCCACTACAAAAGGCTTCGTCATTCAGCAAGACAGCACATGTCCTCACACAGCTCGACACGACTGGAAACCATTCATTGCCTCACCCTCCAGATTCTCCTGACCCTACATCTTCTGACTATTATTCATTTCAAGGACTAAATGATTATTCAGATAGCCTTAGGATACTGAAAATGATTTGTCTGCGTATGTTGCTCCTAAACCTCAAGAATTCTACGAACGCTGCTTTTGTGAACCCGTTGGCGAATTGAATGCAGAGGTCGTGCTAACAACTAGCCGTCTTCTTAGTTTTAATAAAAATTTTAATAAAAACTACGATTGTCTATTGAAGCTGGGTTTTAAGGACCAGGTGTACAAACCAATCAGAGGCTAATCTTGTCTCTAGAGGCGAAATCCACGTGGACGTAGAAGAACAAGAACCTACACTAGGCGACGGATAGCTGGTGAGCCAGAGGCGGAAGGTGGGCGCGGTGTTGTCCACGGTGAAGCTCTCACAGATCTTCTCCATGTTGGTCATCCAACTCACAGCGAGGTGGCAGTTCTGCAGCAGCACCCACGAGCCCTCGGCTTGGGCGCGTTCGATCATCTTCGCGGCTATCGGTCCCTGACCTTGGCCCAGACTGATCGACTGGAAGCGCGCGCCGCCGAAGCCCTTGTCCTGCGCGAACTTCAACAGCGCCATGGTCGGGTCGGCGCCGGGCGAGAGCACGAAGATGAGCGGCGCCATGCAGCCCGAGTCCTCGTAGCTCTTGGCCAAGTCGAACGGCGGCGGCTCCACAAACTTCTTGCCCAACTTCTCGCGTACGTAATTCGTCACCGCTGGCACAACCTGAGCGTCAGAATTGATTTTTAGGATTACGCGGTCCACGTAGAATAGTTACCAATGCTCTTCTAACACCATTCTACGGAGAGAGTTTAGAAACTACCATTTTTGCTGCCTAGTATCGACAGTACTTCCAGCTGGTCACTTCCCTCTATTTTAAAAATAAAAATATTTAGTGGTTGTTTGTGGCTTTGAAAGGATCAGAGGCGAGGTTACACAACACCGAACATGTCTACGTGCGAGTTACAGAACCTCCCACAATGACCGAGTTTACGACGATGGCAGCTGATAAACAGCACAGCATTTTACACGAATTCCAACTTGCCAAAAACGCGGCTTCTAAAACACGTGGGGAATCAGCTTGTAGTGATCTTGGTACTGCCGATGTGGAGTCTCATAAAACGAGCAATTATTGGTACAAGTGATTTGGAGGTGGTGAGCTCGATCTTAGCAACCAGCCGCGACCCGGACAGCAGCTTTGAATGTTTGAAAATGCGCCATTGCATGTTCTGCTAGATGAAGACTTAACGCAAACGCAACAAGAGCTTGCAGCAGCTCAGTTAAAGGTCACCCAAACGGCCATTTCCAAGAATTCACACCACTAAATGGGAAAATTTTTCGAAACTTGGAGGTTGGGTCCCCTTACATGTGTTGATGAACAATCCAAAACGCCAGACAATGTGCGTAACGTCGTGAACGATTTCGTTGCCCCGACGCCTACAAGTATATTTCGCGACGTCATTCAACGCAAGGCATAAAAAAACAGTGATTCCACTAGGGCTACAGAGATGATCTCCGGTTTCGGATGAAATATCTCTTGTGTAGCCACCGCTGAATCGAGCTACCAAATTGACAACAAGAGTGTGTTGTGAATCGTGGAGAATCGCACTCGTTAATGCAGTCGCTCCAACTTCCGACACAGGGTTCCCCTCTCTGCAGTATGTCGCCAGCCGCGCAGAGCCCCAACGCCCTCCTCATTCGCGCGAATATTTATCTTGGATTATACCCCACTCCTAGGGCTCGATGTTAGTGCATCTATGACTCACAAATTCGAGGTATGAATACGCACGGGCAAACCACACCCACGACACAACGACACCAACGTGGTTGAGCTCTGAAGTAAACGGTTGTGTCCACGCCCTCTCAAGTCTTATTCTTCATCGCGGGTATCAGGGAAGCGTAATCGGGCCAGGGTTAATTCAGTGGCCCTGGCGTGGTTCAAGACCACATGCTGGGGTCCACAACATTGGTAACCCCGACGTGATGAAAGGTTCTCCATGTTCCACAACAAGTGAAGCACATCACCGACTTCAAACAAATCGACTAGTCGTTAAAGAGTGACATCACAGAAGCTATCTGTGATGTTGACGCTGGCTTGATCAGTTTGCGACGGCCCAAAAGTGCCTTACTTCTGGAATGGCGATGGTTTGAACATCATGGTTCTGTGAAGTAGCCTTCGCGCTCAACGAAGCCTCGCGAGGTGCAAAATCTTACCCAGAACTTTTGCGTGCGTCTCAAGCACTCATTCTAGATGTGGTCTCTGTGACCGCTGCTCCATGCACACTTGAGTTAATAATTTCATCGAACAAACTGCCTGACCACGGCTGACTCGTCTCGCACACTGCCAAGAAATTGAAGGTTAAAATGCGACCAGAGGCTTTCGAGTTATGACTTCAGACCGACTTAGTTACCTTGTCTGGTCGGATGCATCGAAGCACCACCAAAGTGCGGAATTGGTCGAGTTGTGTGTCCCAGGGGGCTGGCAAAGGCGTCAAGTGGGGCGATTTGGCGTCGTAGAACTTCTTCCACTCCTCCGTGTTCTCAATCACGTGTTCTTTCAGTCCGTCGAACGGGGCCATTTGGGACAGACGACAGAGCTCGTCCCAACTAGTCGACAGGAGCCACTGGGGTGCTGGATTGGGAATGTTATTCTCCAAACCCACTCCCCCCGTTAGGAAAAATAGGAACTCGTTCAATTGCATGTCGTTCTTTGCCCTACAATGAGGATCAGTGTGTGGGTGTGTGTGTATGTTGATGTGGGTGGGGAATGCTGCAACGACAGCGTTTATAAAATGGTTTGTGCGGTGCCAGTGCATGAAATGAACAAAAAAGCAAGCAGAACGTGCTTTTGGGGAAGGTTTGATGAACTTGTGGTGAATTATGCTAATTCACGTACAACGCATCGTTCTCATTGGTTGGGTGGACACGTTTGGGTTGATCCAATGAACAAACGTCCCTTATAGTCTACTCAGCACCAATGGACAGCTTCCTCTGGTCCTGAAGATCCAATGAAGCTGGAAGTGTGGGCGACAACTTCCATAACATTGGCACGTGACACAAATGAAGGGAAACCAACACAACGAAGTAACACTTCAACGTTTGAAAAGCTGAACAGCCAACGCTCTCACATCATCAATTTGCAGCAGAGAATCAACGAGAAGAGGAGTTTGTGCTTCTCGAAGACAGAGCGGCAGACATTTACGTAGAGACTGTAGGTGAAGTAGTCAATGAGGTACCTGATGCGTTTCTCCACAATCTTCGACTTGTTGCTGCCGTAATTTCGTGCGCACAATGAAGACACGAGAGAAAAAAACAATGAGTGCGTTGGATTGGGGGTGAGTAGCTGGAGTGCGCGTGGTTATCATATTGTTCTGATGATTGACATTTTCTAACAAACTAATCCACGATCAGCACTGGCATTGGTAGTGCTGAATTGGATTACTGAATTAAAAGTACACTGAATCCACGTGCAAGGGACATTACTTGAACAACCGTGCTTATCGTTAACTCTCTGATTGGCATAGCTGACATGTTGAAACACCCTAAAAGTCAATTCCCCATTGAAAACGACGATGGTGTGGCCGGTTGAATTTCACGACGTTAAAACCATCAATCGACTCTTAGCACAACGTGGAGGCAACAAAACAATACAAACGGGTAAATTATCCAATGATTTTCAAGTTGTTAAACTCGCGTTATCGCTGGCGAACGATGCTCAGGCGCCTCATCGATCGATATATCGATTTTTTCGTGCGTCGTGCAGAGAGTTGAATAAATAAATGCCCTCACTTGTTCTTTTCGCACCTACATGATTTTTATGAAAATCCGGTTTTATAGACATTAAAAGACGACACAACGAAACAAATGACGTGGCGTCGGGAGTAAAATTTATCCAAACACAAACACAGCGTGTGTGTGTGCGGGTGTGTTGACAGCACATTTACCAAGGTGGCGTGCTAGCAGCGGCGTGAGTACACACACTTGTATCCAACTTACAAACCGATTCTAGTGCAGAGAATCAACGAGAAGACTAGTTTGTGGCGCTCAAATAGACCACGACACACCTCCTCGTAGAGTTTGTAATCTAAGTGCTCCTGCAGATAACGAATCCGGCGTGTGAGGATTTTGGATTTGTTGCTGCAGCACAAGACGAAACAAAGGCAAGTGGCTAAGTTAAGTGCTCTAGTTTTGCCAATGACGCCCCTGGAAACCATGTGGCAATATGCTCTCTGACTAAATTAGGCCTCAGTGTTGACTGCCAAAAATCTGAGTGCTTTCGTCACAACACCCGCTTATACTTGAGTGCACGCGAGGTAAGCACGCGCCTACAAACAACGCCTTGTCATCGATTGGCTACCTGGATGAGGCGCACGCGAGCACATGGGCACGCGCAGCAAACTGGTTGCTGATTGGTGATTGTCGGTGTTTCCTGATTGGTGGCTAGCACGTCCACGCGGCTGATTTGACCGCCCTTTCTCACAACGCGGTGGTATAAAAGCAGTCGCCATGACAACCAAATGACAAGGAAAGGGTGTTGCAAGATATTGGCAAGTCACGTGGCCTGAAAATTTGGTGTGCACACCGCCGCGTCCCCGTCATCTTCCCAGGCAACAGCGTAAATCCGATAAATCGGCGACCTTCTGAGGGATCGGGTGGGACTGTGTTCAGGGGATCGCTGCCAGGAAGAGAGGGTGGCTCACCTGTCTTGAATGGCGTTGATGTAGAGGTTGACGAACCAGGTGAGCGAGTACTGGTACATGGGGTCGATGTTGGGCAGATCGGTGATGGAGGAGAAGAGGATTGCCGAGTGCCTGGCGATGGGGGCGTAGTCCATGCGGGCGAGGTCGATCTTCTTCTGCGTCTCATCGGCCACCTGGAAACGCAACAAAAACAGGAACAATCGGTGTAGAACAGGAGTTCAACTTGGCGATACCACGAGCTGTGTGACAGGATGTTCAACTCACCGCCTGCTTCTTCATGATGTCGTCGGAGATGGCCTTCGAGGAGTCGAGAATTTGGATGGCAGTCTCGTTTTCGAGAATGTCCCCCTCAGCTTCAGCGAGGGTCGCCAAAATGCGGTCTTCGGCCTCTTTCAGCATGCGCTTGTTGTTCGCCGTCGTGACAATCAGCTCCTGACGCGCCTCCTCCAGTTCTGGTCTGCAAAACAGCATGAAACAGGTAGTTGAATTGCACAAAAACAATAAAAAATGATTTTATGGGACGGATTCGTTAATTCTCAGATCGCCATTGGTTTGACCAAAAATGCTCATTTTCTATTGGTCAGCTCAAGGTCTGACCCAACGCCCAAAAGGTCCGTGTTTTAAACTAACCCATTCTATTGACTCATTTCGTTCATTTGGGCAAAAAGTGACTTTAAAACGCAATTTCAAAAATTTCGCTTCCTGTTTTATGTCAACTTCGCTGCGCTGAAGCCGTGATTGGTAGAGAGGTGTTATTTTGAAGAAACCGCGGCTTGCATTTGAGAGCGTGGTTTCGGTTGGGTGAGTTGGAGAGACAGAAGCGGCATCTCATCCTATGTTGTATTTAATCTTACTCCTTTTGTGGCTGCGTGACTAGCAAACTCACTTTTCCTTCGCCACCACAATGCCCAGCAGCTGATCCTCAAGGCCTTCCGGAGTGATCATGAAGTTCAGCAAAGACACCTTCACCGCGACCTCGGGCAGGTAGTGCGGGTTGCGCAGTTTCGTCGTGATGTAGAAACGGAAGTCCATTGAGTACTCGATGACACTTTCACCGAGTTTTATCATGTCCACGTTGCCTTTAGTGGGCAAAAGGGAAGGGTCATGATCGGTGACCAATCAGCACACGAGCTTCATCCATTCTCATCGGCTACAAATTTGTGGCTCATAGAGGGAGACACGCATACACGTCTACTGAAGGATGCTCCATTGAGTACTCAATGACCAATCAGCACACGAGCTTCAATCATTCTCATTGGCTACAGGTTTATCTCTCAGAGTGACACCTATAGAATGTCTAATGAGTGATTCATTTTCCTTGCAATAAACTAAGTGAGTCATAATTACCCTGCTTAAAAATCTGTTTCAACAGCAGCGACTCCAGACTGGGATCGAGTTCCTCGCCGACGTTCTCAAGCAGGACCGGAATTCCAAACTGGACGCTATTCTCCATCCTCCGCATGAAGTCGCCGTCGGTCAGTTTGACGATGGCTACAGCGTTCTCCTTCTCCATGTTCTTGATCCACTTGTTCGCTTGACCCTCTGGGTCGATCATTAGTGGCCTTGGGTGACGACAACAAGATGCAAGTGAAGCACAGGACACAAACCCTAGACTTCGGTGGAACTACTAAGCACTTAAGTCTAACCCCAGCGTTCGCAGCAAGCAATTGCTAATTCAGAACCAGGTGAATTCGACCATCTCCAGGACACAACACCGACAATTCCACGATTTTTGGCGTCTGCACAGTCGGGACAACATTCTCGCGGTAGTTATCGACTAAGACGAGCCAAAAATGCGCTAAGTCGGAACAAAATAATGACTTTATTCGATATTTACTCTGATTCTGCCAATAGAAATACTTTATCTCTTATTGAACACTTAGCCTCCTCGTGATTGGCCAATTTGAATTATCCTGTCCTCCGATTGGTCGATCATTTTGAATTGTTTGCTCTTGCCAACCGACCACTAAGAATGGTTCCTGTGACTCCGAATCGCACCGGAATGTGTTCAATTTTATTGATTTAAGCGTACTTCCTAACTATGAATCTCTCAATGCAACATGAGACACTCCACTGCCACAATGTAAGAAATGAAATCCGGTATTGATTTGAATTTAACTGACTTCATTTCATGAGTTCTGAATAGAAAAAAACGTTATAAAGCAACGCTGACTCTACCATCGACGCCCGTTGTCAACGATCACACTGTTGTCGATCGAGAAGGCGTCGCGAGGCAGTCCGAAGATGTTCCACGCCTGGATTTTGACAGGATCACCTAGACAGTTGGTGAGAGTGAAGTTGGGGCTGCAGGTGATGCCGTCTTGGCTGTTGCACAGCGTCAGCCAATCCTCGATGCAGGCATCACGGAAGGTGGAGGTAAAGGGCCCCAGGTAGGCGATAACGCCGGCTGCCACGAGCACATCGCCCATGAGGTTGTCGTAGATTAGCTGAAGCCTTTCCGCAGCCTGCGACCAGCGGTCCTTCTCACCGCCCAAACCGCCAATCAGCTTATTGGCTCGAATCAACTTCTGACCACAAAGCGTCACTTCGTCCTCCAGCCGCTTCTTCTCTTCCTACAAACAAAAGCACGGACTGGTACTTAGTCTAGGATCCAACCTGCGTGTGTGCTGACCTCGCTCCGAACCACGCGTACCTGTGTTTTTGCCAAATTCTCCCGCAATTTGGCCAGTTTGTCCTCAACGGCCTTGAGGGAGGCCTGTGTCTCCTTGAGGGCGGCCATATTTTCGGCCAGCTCTTTCTCGGCCGCAGCGAGCTTGATCTTCTTTGGCGCGACAATCTTCGCCGTGCGGTCGTATTGCTCCATGGCTAGGATCCACTTGCACAGACCCTCAGCTGCCGAGCTGGCTCGTGCCACCTTCGCTGGATCGAACTCCGGATTGGTGATGTAGTTGTTTCTAATGTTTGTTACAATCTACAAGGCAACAAATTAGGGTAGGTTGGTTTGACGAACGCACGGTAAAAGACGTTAATCTGTGTACCTGGAGGGGAATGTTATCCTTGTCGAAGTCCTTCAGCGACTGGAGGAAGGTCATTTCACCGAGCAGACGCTTCGACGGTCCCCAGTAGTCGAGGGTCTTCTTGCCGGTGCTAGGGTCGGTGACGCGTTCAGGCTTGATGTCGCGCATGACACACACCGCCTCCATGACCAACTTGACGCCCGGCGGCGGGTTGGTCATGGACTTGACGATGGTGATGTCGGCGGGTTTGAGGGTGTCCAGAGCGGCGAGCGCGGCCTCCATGGCAGGCTGGGCCTCGGCCAAGTCGGCCCTGCACTCCTCGGACAGGGCCTTCGAGGCGTCAGCCTTGAGGTTGACCTCCTCCTCCTCCTTCACCACCCGCTCCCTCTGCTCTTCCGCGGCTGCGGACTCCTTCGCGATCACCACCAGCAGCTTCTCGTTGGCTGCTCCCGCCTCCACCAGCTGCGGTTGCAGCTCCTCTAACTTCACCTGCATATCCGCCACCTGACTCGCGCCGAACGCCAATTTATCCAAGCCGTTAAGGTACCTAGTTTAGCCCGCAAACCAATCGGAATAAGTAACCGTCTGCTTGAGTCGACTCCATCAGCCAATCAGATTTGTCCGATATAGGGTCAGTTTAATTTCAAGGTAGAATTTAAAAAAAACAGCAATCAATCTAATAAACGACTGTGTCTTCATTAATTCTCGATTCTTATTCACGACAAATACATCAATTTACGTGTCTTCAATTCATTTTTGCGCGTGATAATTAAGTCTTCCAATGAGAAAAACGAAACCTTGAAATAACCCAATCGGGATGGAGAATCATGGATTTTGGTAAACTTGGTGCGAGCATAGGTCGCAGTATTTCACAATTTATTCAGAGATGCGACCTAAAAATTTTGTTTAAATTGACACTTGAAGGGAGGGCTCGTGTGTTCAAATATCCAAAAAGAGCCATTGACAGCGTCGTACAAATAAAACTTGGGGCAAATCAGAGCATGTGCATCTGATTTTGCAAAAAAACATTAGCCAATCAGAAGGCATGCAAGGGCTTGCCTCAACTTCGCCGTCATTATTTCGTCCTTCTTCTTGGTAATGAGGCGTTCAAACGAACCGATCTGCTCGAGGTACGACGTCGGCGTGACGTAGGTCTTCCGACCTAGTTGTTCGAAGAACTTGACGGACAAGTCGATGATCGATTTGTGGAAGTACTTGAAGATGTGGGTCGCGCGATCCCTCAGTTCAGGCTCCATACCAAGCGTCTCCAGCGAACGCTGCGCCACTCGTTCCAGCGCGTCTTCTGGCCATGACTAGAAATCAATCCGGACGTCACGCGCCGTGGAAGTTGCATGAGCACGTTGATCTTAGCTCATTCGGGAATCAATATGAGCAACTCACCGTGAACCAGTCGATAGTGCAGCAGTTGGTAAGCGAGGGGAACTGGCGCAGGCGGTTGCGGAAGGCATCGCCGATTGGCGAGAAGGCGATGATTATGTGGAGGTTGGCACGACAACGATTGACGAAGGCTGCGAACAGCGCCAACGGCGACGTGTCTTGCATGGCGGCAGCGTTTGCGGCTGTGGGATTCTTGCGATTCTCCGCCTCTAACGCCGCCTGCACCAGCTCTGTGATCTCGGCGCGCTCCTCGGACGTAAAGAGGTTCGGCACCTCGCCCGAGTTCAGCAGGCTGTCGACGTCTTCAAGGAAGGCCTCGTCTTTGATTTGCATGTCTGTTATCAGGAACACGGTCTGCGCTCCACGACCACCGGCGTTCTTCAGGCAGGACTGTAAGGGCAATGCCCAAGCACAGGCAGGTGATTGGGTAACTCAAGGTCATCTCGACAGTGTTAAAATAATTGACCAATCAGGTGGCTGGATTCAAGGTCGCTGGGACGTGATTGGGTGGCTGAGTTATTAGGGGAAAGTGGTCAGTGCGAGAGACCCACCTTTACGTCTTCGCGCCACTCAGACAAGCCGTAGTCCTTAGTGACCTCTGGCTGGAAGGTGACGTAGCCAGCCATGGCAGACGCGAGGCGAGACAGCGACTGTCTGCCAGACCCGCCAACACCCACTAACAACGCGTTGCCCGAAGGCACTCGCAGTATCCGACATATCCTCGCCAGATGTTCCAGCACGTATCTGCAATGTGAAAGTGACAGATCTTGGCTCTGTGTTTTACTAAACTGATTCTCTCTTGTAAGGCGCCAATTTGAATCTGTCTATGCAGTGAACACTGATTCGTTGCTCTACCATGTAGGCCAACGCGTTTAACACATCATTGTTGGTGATAACGACGAGGTCTACCTAGATATTCAAATCTGAGCCAGTGACGGTTGAATCTAATGAGCGCAACACCCATCAGAGAAGTGATTTCTACTCAACCCACCTGAAGATGACGAGATTCATCTTGGTTTTGTGCGTAGCATTGTACTCCGACAAGCACTGTTCCACGATTGGGTACATCGCGTTGATGTCAGTGAGCTCTTCATAGCACCTCTCCTCCGGGAGGGCGTCGATGTCCACAAAGTCACCAAAGATCAGACTCCTGAAGGTCTCCTCGTTTACCTGGGAGAGCGAGGGGTAATGATTTTCTTCAATCAAATAACTTGACTGTCTATTTGGTGCGTGTCACGACTAGATAATTGCTTGTTTCACCAATAAAAGATGACCTTGAAAGTATCCAATCAAAAAGCGGCAAATTTGAATTTATGAAATCAGGCATTGCACACAGTCTGCGAACTAAAACGGTTTGAGGCATTGCCACATCGCCAAAACATTTAAATTTGGTGTGTGAGTGTGTATAAATACGGATTTTCACATCGTTGAAAGCGCGAAATGCAAGAGCCGTTTCTTTCTCATGAAAGTGACTTATGAATTCACGTAAGGCGTAATCTTTAAATAACCCGCGTTCTACGTGACCTTGAGTCGACCAATGGGGGGACACATACCTCATCTCTACTGTTCTCCAGTAGGTGAGCAAACACAACGTTGATTTTGTCCTTGAAGTACACTTCGATGGCGTTCTTGATGAATCTGTGGAAAAAACAACAGCCCCATCAACGAGTGCTGAATGTTCTCAAAAAGAACATCGATTTTCACTACTACCAACGCCGGTCTTACTCAAACAACCACTTCCTGTCGTTGTCGTCGGTCAGACGGTCGTAGAAGACGCGCAGCACCTCGTGGACCCAGAGCCGGATGAACGTCTGCTTAGAGCTCACGTGCTCCTTCTTGATCAGGCAGATGCCCAGGATGACGCGACTGAAGTCGCGCAGGTTGAAGACGTAGTGCGATTTGGCTGGAGTTGGCAGAAGATTAGCCATCGCCGCCTTGTACACCTGCAGGGTTGCCTCCACCATGGTGTTGCCGACGCCGAAGTAGTCGGAGGTGAATTCTTGCGACTGGAACAGCACCACAGACGGCCATTTCAGTCGACACAACGAATTAATGCAAACGCATGATATACTTGCTACTATAAACATATAAGTAGAAAGTAAAATATGGGATTTTGAAGACTTACCCGCAGATAAGTGTGCATGAGTGCAGAGAAAATGCGCGTCAGGGTAACATCGTTGAAAGGCACCATGGAAATCGCGTGGAAGTGGCGCATAAAACGCGGCGTCACGTCACTACGCGCGCCTGCTGGAGGGCCCATTGCAGCGCAGATGTAGAGGTTGATCAAACTGGCCTTTGTCATGTCCTTCAAGTCATACCTAAAGACGATATTTTGTAAAAACCATGCTACTATTATTGACATCAGTAAAAGTTATTTTAACCGAAATGGGGAAGAGACGATGGAAAATTTGGACGTACACATAGCCGTGGTCCATGACCATGCGCAATAGTTCAATCGGCGGCTGTGCTCCATACACCTCCTGGGCCGGCATATTTAGATCGTCGATGAAGAAAGTGGCAATTTTGTCCATCGGCAGACCGTACACACCCTTTCTGCGTCGATCGAGTCTCGACATGATGATGTCCTAAAATTGCCAATTCAAGTGGTCATTTGCCCCGCCAAAATAGCCAATCCATATTGGAAATTTGGTCTGACCTTGATTCTAACTAATAGAAGATGACCATGAATGGTCCAACCACGTGCTGTGATTTTTGAGCCAATAAAATGTAGTTCAGCTTATTTACTTATCAATTATTAAGTTACTGTGTTCTACACACCAATCAGAATCCACAATCAAAAGCACCAATCACAAGACCATCGGAAAGTTTGAACCAATGGCCTGCGAGTAAGTAATAAGCGGGATTATAATAAGTACGGTGTGCAAAATCTGCGTCGACGTTTATGTGGATGGGAATTTACTGTAATAGAAAATTTACGAAACCCAATAAAAAGGTTTATTTTGAGTGGCTGCGAAATTTCGAGCTCGCTTTGAATCATGAAGTCAAAAACGGTCTTCATTTTTTTCAAAAGATCTTATTTATTGTACATCGGAACAAATAAATCAATCATAAAAGAAAAACCAGTGCTTGTTTGTGTCACGAGCACAAAATTATGCAGTTACCCACTAAGAGCCAATGACAGCCGTCTGGCGATCAACCAATGAGAGAGCAGTATTTAAAATTTAACTAATGCACCACTTACCTGTACTTGGTTGGCGCCGGTTTGAGCAGAGAAATTGATGAAGAAGGGCTTGTACACATCGTGGTCGATGGCGCGCATGAGTTTCTCACGAACATACGTCGACTTGCCCGTACCGGTGACACCGATGAAACAGAGCGCCTGATTGGCCCGCAAGCAGAGGTCAATTAGAAACTTGTAGCGCGCTGTATCCATGGTCGGTACGATGATGTCACGAATCTCCATGCCTTCGAATTTGTCCTGGCCACGCGTCAAATCGTTCCAGTGGCGCCATTTCCCACGGCTTTTGAACTTAACAATAGAGCGAGAGAGAAAGAGGGTGAGAGATGAGGATACGATCAGAATTTCCAGACTGCCGATAGACGGGGACGCGAGTGAACGTACCTCGTAGAAGTAGTCGAACACCAGACCGCTTTCGGGAGTCTGGAAGTCACAGCGACCACCGATGCTCTGAGGAGGCGGCAAGTCGGGCTCCTTGCCACCGAGGATCGGTCGAAGAAACTCGTCGAATTTGACCCGACTGGCGTCGTCTAGACACCCACCGATGCCCCAGACCAGACTGAACAACAGGGACGCGTGCACCCACATTCGCAGATGACGATTCTCCGCTGGGTTCTCCTCATTGATTGCGTCGGTTACGAGAGCGGTCAGCAGGTCGAGGGTCGACTTGACGATGCACATGGGACTCAGGGAAATGAGCTGCTGGCAGTGGAGGCGGACGAAGTCTAGACAAGCGTCGAATAGCCAATCAAAGAGGTCCTGCAGGGTGTCACGGCCGTCACCGCTCGACACCTCCTCGGGAAGCGCGTCCAGCCACGATGTGGCTAGCGGACGCCAACCCATTGCCATTGGCTCGACGTAAATCATTCCACAGCGGGACACCGTCGCCGGCTACATAAAAAAAACACAACACCACGAGGTTTGAAAGTGTATACAAGTAGCATCATTAGCGCTGCATCGATTGGCAACTAACCGACGCCTGCAAGAGATCCATCGTTTCAAAGATTAGGCTCATTGTCTTGGACATCTGGATGATCTCGCCCGACATGAGGCACAGCTTCTTGTTGTCATCCAACACCGTGTTCATGCTCTCGATCCACAAGGTGTCGATTGGTCCGTCGAAAATGACCCAGGTCCGATCTGGAGGCTCCATCTGCGCGAACTCACGGAACGTGTTGGCGGTTACACCATCGGTCCACTTGAAAGAGAAGCAAAAAAATCGATAATTTGGCCCCAAGTCCGTTGTTTGAGTGAGCTAGTCGGCTCAGTGAGCGCCGATATGAAAAGTGACCTCACAACGGTCCAATCAGTTTCGTCCTTTTTGGCAGCCGGGTAATTCAAACCGGATTGAATAGCATAAACCACGTACCTCGTGTGAGACAGGATCGAATTCGCCAAACAACTGGCCCATGGTGATGGCCTTTGGGTTCATGGTGCGATGCAGGACTTTGGTGTACTCAGTTAGACCCTTCTCGAAGAGATTCGTCATGATCTCGGCCAGAGCGTGGAGCATACAGGTCTTGCCACCCAATGGCATTCCAACCAACATGAACCTGCAAAAGTGATTGGACGATTTAGGGGTCAGCGCAGGTTGGTGTAAACGCGCCTACTACTTGCAAGCTTTGTGTTTAAAACGAAGAAAGCCGTGACTAAAAAGCATAGTTAGCCCTGAACTGCATTTCATTAGCTTCGTGGGTCTGTAGCGTTTACACAGGTTTTGACAACACACGCAGTCAATGCATTTTAGAAATCCTAAGGCCATCCGAATTATCATTTAGTCCTTGAAATAAATAATAGTCAGAAGATGTAGGGTCAGGAGAATCTGGAGGGTGAGGCAATGAATGGTTTCCAGTTATGTCGAGCTGTGTGGGGACTTGTGCTGTCTTGGTGAATGACAAAGCCTTTTGTGGTGGCCTATGTTGGATGGCGCTGACTTGAAATTGTTTTCAAACGACAGAGCCAAGCATCGCACGCGTGCTTGTGGCGCCACGAAGTACCCAAGGCAGGAACAAGGCACTAATCGGTTGTTAGTTGGTTGCTGACGAAGACAGTTTGGTGGAAGCAGTGGTAACACAAGTGTCTGAATGATCGTGTGAGTGAAACGGTAATATAGGGAGAGAGGGAGGGAG